GAGTTGGGGGTGGGAGAGAGAATCAAAAATACAGAGGAAGAATGTTTAGTTTAGCAGGTATGTGGGTAGGGAAGGCCATGAGAGTCATCTCTAGTATAGCAACATTGGTGAACATGTATCAGATATAGTTGGCTAAATTTGACCAGTAAACACTTGCACTTTTTCCCAAAGGGCATTGGAACAGAACTTTAGAAAATAACAAGTATGTTCATCATTTACAATATGCTAGATGCTCTTTTTTAGTGCTTTACACATATTTACTTGTTTAACATAACCATATGAGGAAAATACTGTTATTAGCCCCATTTTACAGATTTAAAAAAACTTAGCTCTGAGAAGTTAAGCAACTTTTCCAGAGTAAAGGTACAGGATTTTACTGAACATGGAGTATCGGGCTGTAGAGCTTGGATTCCTATTATGCTGAACTGCCTTGATCTCTTTTTACTGAGAACCATTAAAAAAAGATATGATCTATATCAAAGTTAGCTAACATCATGTCTTCCTCCAGTTTTCATGGCAGACATAGTTAATTAGATGCCAAGACTGATTACTGTTCTAAATTTTGTACTTTAATACAAGTATGGATTTACCAGGATTTGAATGTGAAATGAAGCATATTTACCATCCCAGGCCTAAGTGTTCTAATGTTAGGTGGAGGTATTGTTATGCTTCATCATAGGTTTATATCAGCCTGTACAAAATGTAGTTCGCAGAACATTGGTTTCCTGGGATATTGCTAAGTATTTTAAGGAAAATAGTGTCTCCAGGTCTTATCAATTTGAAAGATAGTGGATTAATAAGTATTAAACAGTTTTCTTTATTATGGACCTTCTTAGAACTTTGATATGCATTGTGGGGAATGCATATCATGGGTTGTTGCATCTCTGGGTTATTGGGGAAAGTGTTGGATTGGAGTCATTGTTCCTTATAGTTATTTGATGTTTGCTCTTTTTCATAAGTATCTTAAGACACTAGAATTCTGTGGAAGGTATTTTGGGAAACTGATGATCATGATCTGCAAATAATGTTGGTATTTGCTGTTTCTGAGTCCTTTTCAGTAATATACTGACCAATTTACTTTTGTCCATTTATATTTTTCCACTTTGGTTTTTTTAAATCCTCACCCAAGAATATTTTTTCCATTGATTTTTAGAGAGAGTGAAAGAGAGAGGGAGAGACAGAGAGAAACACTGATGTGAAAGAGACACATCGATTGGTTACCTCCTGCATGCCCCCACCTAGGGCCGGGAGCCTGCAACCGAGGTATGTACCCTTGACCGGAATTGAGCCCGGGACCCTTCATTCTGCAGGCTGATGCCCTATCCATTGAGCCAAACCAGCTAGGGCTATTTTTCCACTTTTATACTCTTTTTTTTTTTTTTTTACTTTATAAAAAAACTATGTCCTTTAATATTTTTTGATATTTGATTGCACAAGAGTCAAATAGAAATGTGTAGAAGTTAAAACATCTACCTTGTACTTAATTCTGTAAGTTAATTTATTTTATTTTTTTTCTTCTTTTATTGTCTAAAGTTTTACATATATCTCCTTTTTCCCCAATTAACACCCCCCTCCCCCCAGCCATTCCCACCCTGGGCAAGCCCCCAGTGTCTGTGTCCATTGGTTACTGTAAGTTAATTTTACATACTAGTGTTCAGTTTGTGCTACTCTGTTCTCTATCTTCTTCTTTAGAGCTATACTATACCTTTTGTGATTTCATTGTTGAGGGGCACTTTCTGTTTGTATACTTCTTTGTAAGCACAGTATAAATTCCTAGTTCATTCAAATTGTATTTATTGATTGAATTAGAGAGAGGACTATCATATGACTTTTACACTTTTATTTATTTCTCTTGCTCATCTTAACCTACTGAATAACCTTATTTTTTCACTTTTGAGGTCTGATTTTTCTGAATTTCTGGGTCCATTGATCATGTTGGCCATGTTGGCAGGAAAGATTTTGAATTATGGATTTTAATTAAAATGGATTATACTTAAGGAAGATTTTAAGAATCTTTAGGAGATGAAATGGAAAACTAATCTTTAATTCTTATCCTTTTTGTTAGACATCAGAGATGTATTCTTCAGGCCCGTTGCTGCAACTTTTAATTCATTCTCAGTCTTTTTTGGATATGCAATTTAAAAATTTTCTCCCTGAAATAATTCTAGGATTATTCTAACTTTCATAAGGATCTCTCTGGATTTTCTGTTTTGTTTCCAACTGTCCCATTCTACTCTCTTTGTATTTATCACCTTTATAGTTTTTGCTTATTTATATGTGATTTCTGTTTCTCATGATTTCATTTTGTCCACATTACTAAAGTTTTAACTTCTTTGTGCCATATTCATGTACTCTTTAATCTTTAAGCCTTTGTGCCTGGTTGATAACTACCTTGTTTTCTTATTATTCATTTTTAAAATACAGAGAGAAGGCATTTGACTGATCCTGTTTTTTTTAAATGTATGAGAATGTCATAGATCATTGACATAACTATGGTTATCTGACTTTTCCTTAGTTGCTCATTTCTATGTCAGTTGAGTTATAACTGGTGAGTAAAGGGCACCAAATTCAGCAGGTTTTGTAGTATATTAGAAAACATAGTTGATATATCTAGCATTTAAATCATGCTAATCCTGTACCTTAGTTTACACAATTGGGATATTTGCTTTAGACACTGTTGTGCATCTTGCTTATTATTTTTAAATTAAAAAATTTTTTCTTTATTGATTTTGAAGTTATTAATACATTCTTATTGAAACAATTGAAATAATGCAGAACAAAGATGTACAGGGGTGGGCAAAAGTAGGTTAATAGTTGTGAGCATGTGAAACACAGAGGTTAATAAAGCTGTTGTAATAATCATAACCTGCATGTTTTTTTCATACAAACAACTGTAAACCTACTTTTGCCCGTCAACTTGTATAAAAACATATCTCCTACTTGTTTTCTGATGATATTAATATTAATAACCTAATATGTATCCTTGCACATCTTACTACTTATAACACAGAGGCTTAGTTTAGTTTTACTGAAGTTAAATCACTACATATAGTACTTTGCCATGTTTTTCTTTTCACTCAAATGTTTATCACGAAATATTTTTACAAGTCTGTAGATATCTATTCATGTTTGTGTTTCCCCAACTTCTTTGTATGTGCACACATATACACATTTATATAAAACCCTATGTTAGGTTTCTTGAGGAGAGGGTTCATTTTATTTATTTTTAAAAATTCTTTTTATCTTGTCTGTCATTTTCTCTCTTTATTAACCCCCTCCTCCCAGTTAACATGGTAAGCCATGTTAACCTGCTGGATATTATTGTATACTTTTTTCCATGCTTACTATTATATACAAATTATATACAAATATGTGTGTATGTGTCTAAATACACACTCATATATGTAATTTTTAAAAATTGGGATCATAATATATAGTTCTGCATTTTCATTTAGCAGTACAATGTGGACATTCCACATTGGGATAGCTTAAATTTATTCCTTTAAAATTATTTTTACATTCCTGAAAACTTTCAAATATATGTGAGAGATTATCACAACGAACATTGAAGTACTCTCCATCTAGGTTCAGTAATTGTTAACATTTTATCATATTTACATTACCTTTTTATCTTAGCGGGTTATATGTATTACTGTTGCTGTACCATTTAAAAATTAGATGTGGACATAATGACATTTTACCACAACTACTTCAGCATGCATTTCTAAGTCATTCTCCTTCATACCATGATATCGTTATCACACCTAAGAAAATTAATAATATTACTGAATATCTGATATCTAATTCAGATTTTATTTTTTTCAGTTTAAAAAATGTCTTTTATAGATGGTTTATATCAAACCAAGACATGTTCAAGGTTTACTCATTGCATTTGGTTGATATGTCTCTTTATCTTAATCTAGAAAAATTTGCCCAGCTTTTTCTTCCTCCTGTGTACCTGTTAGAAGTCTTGCCCAGCTAATTTGTAGAATGTCCCCCCATCTTGGATTTACCTATTTTCTCGTGATATTATTTAACTTTTTCTTTGTTTTCAGTCTCTCCTGTAAATTGAAAATGAACTGTAGAGGCTTAATTAGATTCAGGTTAAACATTTCTGGAAAGCATGCTGCATAGGTAATGTTATGAACTTTTTTTTTTTTTTTTTTTTGCTTTTGGGTCAGGAGAGGAGCCTGGGAAGTGGAGAGGGTTTGGAGAGATGAGGGGAGGGAGTCAGGAGAAGGGGCACTGGGGCTCTGGGAAGGGGTCCACGGAGCTCTATGAACTTTATTATATTGCATTACTTTAGGATACACATAATGTCTAGTATCTCACTATTAATGCCACTAAGTCTGTTTACTTGTTTAAGAGATGAAATAATGAGCTTCTCATTTGATATTACAATCAAATCTTTTTTGTTTGATGTAAATTACTCTTGAGGTTCTTGGGTTATCTTTTAGAGTAGAAAACATTTTCAAAATACTCTTGAGAACAATTACTAAGAGACATAATTCTTCCATTGCAGAGATCCAATTTATTTTTAGAACTGATACTTCATGAATCTGAGGATCTGAAATAACCTGGTTAAGATACATAGAAATTATTATTATTATTATTATTATTATTATTATTATTTTAAAAGTATTTGTATTTTTATTGATTTCAAAGAGGAAATGAGAGGGAGAGAGAGATAGAAACATCAGTGATGAGAGAATCATTGAATGGCTGCCTCCTACACTCTCCCCACTGGGAATCGAACCCGCAATCTGGCCATGTGCCCTGACCAGAAATGGAGCTGCAACCTCCTGGTTCGCAGGTAGATGCTCAACCACTGCGGCACACTGACTGGGTGATCCATAGGAATTAAATGTTTAATTCTCCATAGTGCAGTATTTTATGGATTTGTTTTCTATTAATTTGGTTTCTTGAATTTTTACATGATTTTTATATTGAGCTTCTAAAAATTACATGATGTTTGATATTATTACCTCTTTATGTTTCAGAATGTGCCCATTTACTTTTGGCTCACAATGCTCCAGTAAAAGTGAAAAATGCTCAGGGATGGAGCCCGCTGGCGGAAGCCATCAGCTATGGAGATAGACAGATGAGTAAGCAATATAAATTACAGTTGTTATATAGTCTAAAAATATGAAGTGATGCATTTGAAATATTTTTCATTTAGCATAACTTTCCATGCTCTGAAAAGTGTGCAGTTATTTATAAGCTTATATATGGATTATTAGGAACTTGAACATTGCATGATACATAAAAATAACTGAGGAATTATGTTTAAAAGTATGTTTTTTTTCTCTTTTAATAGCATCCTGCCCTATTGTTGTTTTTTATCATTTACTTTTTTATTTTTTAATCCTCACCTGAGGATATTTTTTCCATTGATTTTCAGAGAGAGTAGAAGGGAAAGGGGAGAGAGAGAGAGAAATAGAGGAGAGAGATGAACATCGGTGTGAGAGAGACACATCAATTGGTTGCCTCCTGCACACATCCCAACCAAGGCAGGGATCGAACCTGCAAGTGAGGTATGTGCCCTTGACCGGGAATTGAACCCAAGACCCTTCAATGCATGGGCTGATGTTCTAACCATTGGGAAACTCCGGTCAGGGCTTTATATAATTTAGATTGAAGGACTTTTTAAAAATATTGAGAAAAAAATAAAAACAAAAACATTGAGACTTGACTGTCCTTTCTGACAACTGCTTAATTTTTTGAAGATTAATTGGAACTGAGAATAATCAGTGTATCAATATCAGTTATGTATCTGTCTTAATTACTAAAAGCAAGGAACAAGTGTGTCTGTTTTAGTCTTCAGAGAATTTCCAAAAGATGTCAGATATATTTTTCACAATTTATAGACTGTTCAGTTATACCACTCTCCCTCCTCCTACATCTTTTTTTTCCCTCCCCCCAGTTTCATATACAGGTCTTATTTTTGTCAAATATATCTCAATAGTTGAATATTTTATAAAATATTGAATGGTAATATTGAATGGTAATATTATCTTTCTTTTAGACTTTGAGGCTGAAAATAATCACTTCAGTCTAGCTTTGTAGAAGGAACTATAAAAAAATTTGGCAGTTTTATTTTAAAAAAAGCATAATGTTGGACACTACTGAGTTGTTATTTGGTTTTAATTTTATTTTTGATGCTAAGTTTTGGGCTCTTATGGGTTTTTTCTTATGTTTTAGCTTTACAAGTAATCCACATATTATATCTGTGGAGTTTCTGAACACCTTGGACCACTTTTTTTTTTTTTTTTAATATATTTTATTGATTTTTCACAGAGAGGAAGGGAGAGAGATAGAAAGTTAGAAACATCGATGAGAGAGAAATATCGATCAGCTGCCTCCTGCACATCTCCCACTGGGGATGTGCCCGCAACCCAGGTACATGCCCTTGACCGGAATTGAACCCGGGACCTTTCAGTCCGCAGGCCGACGCTCTATCCACTGAGCCAAACCGGTTTTGGCAACCTTGGACCACTTTTAATGGTGAAGTTAGATTTGGGCTTAAGATTTAATGTGAGATAAAATTATGATATTTTAACAACTATACTACTATGTACATGTATATGTATATGTAAGTTATTCATTGAGAGTTGTCCTTTCTGGACAAACATCAAGGGACCCTTATGAGAGCAAGAAACTGTACTAACCCTAGAATTATTTTAGGAAAAGGATAAAAATATACAGCTCTAAGAAAGTGAGAATTAATTAAAAGTTATAGCAGTTGGTCTGAATAAACTTTGGTCTGATATATTTTTTAAAAATTTTTGTTGATTTTTTTGGGGGGCGAAAGAGAGAAAGAAATATTGATTTGTTTTTCTACTTATTTATGCATTAATTGATTGATTCTTGTATGTGCCTTGACCAGGGATCAAACCCACACCTTGGTATATCAATGACACTCTAACCAGCTGAATTACCCAGAAAGGGTTCTGATATTTCTAAATGATTAGCAGAGTGGAGAGGAAACGAGGTGGGCTCCTGGATTTCTGACCCACCTTGAGACTTAAGTGACTTTCAAGGATTCTCTTAATCAGCATTAGTGAATATTTATTGAGTCCTTACTATAAAGCATGTGTATATAGTAAGATGTAGAGAATAAAGACATGGTTTCTACTCTTTAGTAATTCATAATCTATGGGAAGGCCAGTAAACAGAGTTTTCTAAGAAAATAAATTATTAGACATATAGTAATAAATTTTAATGTAAAAATTGAGGCACATATTAGTTAAGAATGTTAAAAGTGATTTCTGTACAGTGATATTTAAAAAAATTTTTATTGATTTCAGAGAGGAAGGCAGAGGGAGAGAGAGATAGAAACATCAATGATGAGAGAGAATTATTTATTGGCTGCCTCCTGCATGCCCCGCACTGGGGAAGTCTTCTGGAGCCAGCAATCAGGGCTGGAGCTCCAGAAGACTTCAAAGCAGGGTTTGAGATTATTAGATAAAACCTAAGAGTTTTTGATTGGGTGGGAGACAATAGGTTTTTAGAGAAAAAAAATCTTTAGATCAAATGTGGTAATCTTGTCTTAAAGAAGAGATACTGTGTTTAGAGAAGTAAGGGATAGATTAGAAAGATAATTAAATGAAAGAATTGACAATGGTTGATTATCTCCTGGATAGTGATAGAAGTATTATGAGTAACTCCAAGATCTCTATCATGTATTAATGGTGATCTCATTGATTAATTGATGTATAGAATATAGAAGGAAGAGCAATATGGGATTTAAATAATTAGGTGTTAAGCTTGGTCAGTTTTAGTTATGTGTGGCACATCCAGGAAGAACTCTCCAAGTAAGAAGTGGGAAATAATTAGACTGGAGAGTAGAAGGAAGTGGAGGGCAGAAGGTATAGATTTAAGTAATACTTGGAGCAATAGAGCATAGTTCTAGAAGCTTTAGGAACAATAAATGGAAAACTTGAAAATACTGGGAGAAGAAAGCAAGAGAAAGTTAAATTAATTGTAGTTTATTGGAATATAAATTCATTTGAGTATGAATTCTATCTAATACCATCTAAATACTCTAAAGCTAATTTTATTTGAGTATGAATTTTATCTGATACCATTTGAGTAAGACTTTTAAAATATGGAAGTACAAATACTGAAACCCCAAAAACATAGTGGTAATTTTGTATAATTGCATTCTGAATGTTTCTGCTTCCATAAGAAAGTTTGAGTTGATGTGATTCTCTTTTAAATGTGAAGTCTCATAGAACAAGAATCTCTTTTTGCATATATTACTGTGCTATATAGTATTGTCACTACCTTTTTAATAATGTTTGGTCATTTTGTGTTATTTATTGAATGCCTTCTTCAGTCGCAGTATGTTCAGTTGATGAAAAAATATGGCTTCTGCTTTACTAGTACATTAAGAAGATACTTTTTCAGCCTAGGAATTGAATTCTTTTTATTGTTTACATTCAACAGAGGCCCATTTCAATTTGAAGGCAAGAGAGGTTGAATAAAGATTTATTAAAGTATTTGAGCCGAAACCGGTTTGGCTCAGTGGGTAGAGTGTCGGCCTGCGGACTGAAGGGTCCCAGGTTCGATTCCGGTCAAGGGCATGTACCAGGGTTGCGAGCACATCCCCAGTGGGAGATGTGCAGGAGGCAGCTGATCGATGTTTCTCTCTCATTGATGTTTCTAACTCTCTATCTCTCTCCCTTCCTCTCTGTAAAAAATCAATAAAATATATTTTAAAAAAAAAAAGTATTTGAGCTTATAGTGAGGAAGAAAAGCTACTACATTTGGGTAATGTATCTCTGATATTAGAGTTAAATTGTAACAAACATGAAGGTTAACCAGATTCATATAAATTTGAATCTGTAAAGAATCTTAATGATTATCTAGGTCATTGGTTCCAGACTATTTGGATTTCACAGACCAGAAAAATATTTATTTGAGGATTGATGCAGAGTAGCTAACATTTTTATTTTAGTGTATAAGAACTTTAAAAAAAAAAAAAATAACTTCACCGAGCCTGCGTGGCTCAGTGGTTGAGTGACCTATGAACCAGGAGATCAAAGTTCAATTCCTGGTCTAGGGCACATGCCTGGGTTGAGGGCTCGATCTCCATTAGGGGGCGTGCCGGAGGCAGCCGGTCAGTGATTCTCTCTCATCAGTCTCTCTCTCTCTCTCTCTCTCCCTCTCTCCCCCCCCTTCCCCCTCCCCCTCTTTCTTCTTCTCTGAAATCAATAAAAATATATTTTAAAAAAAGATAACTGCTTTCTTCTGTGATCATTTTAAGAAAAAGACATTTTTAAAGCCAAAAATAATAGCAAGAATAGTTCTTGAATTAAAATAATATGTAATCTTTAAATTAAAACCATCCTAGTTTCCAATTTTTTTTTTTTGCTGCATATCACTGGAACTTGAACAATTGGTCACTGAAATGTAGACTTGTATTTGGGAATTATTGACCTAGGTCATGGAGCTAATTTGTTTATTTTTGCTTTTGAGTTTTTTTTACTGTGTTAAAAATATATGTAACACAGCCAGTTTATAAATGAGATCAGGTCTTATGTTCTTTGGCTTCTAGTCTCAGCCTTTTTTACTGTTCTGAAAGATCTTTAGTAATTTAAACATTGTTCTTTGCTTTTTGGCTTTTTTTTTTTTTTTAAATATATTTTATTGATTTTTTACAGAGAGGAAGGGAGAGAGATAGAGAGTTAGAAACATCGATGAGAGAGAAACATCGATCAGCTGCCTCCTGCACATCTCCTACTGGGGATGTGCCCACAACCCAGGTACATGCCCTTGACCGGAATCGAACTGGGACCTTTCAGTCTGCAGGCCGACGCTCTATCCACTGAGCCAAACCGGTTTCGGCGCTTTTTGGCTTTTTTTTTTTTTTTAAATATATTTTATTGATTTTTCACAGAGAGGAAGGGAGAGAGATAGAAAGTTAGAAACATCGATGAGAGAGAAACATCGATCAGCTGCCTCCTGCACATCTCCCACTGGGGATGTGCCCGCAACCCAGGTACATGCCCTTGACCGGAATCGAACCCAGGACCTTTCAGTCCGCAGGCCGACGCTCTATCCACTGAGCCAAACCGGTTTCGGCAGCTTTTTGGCTTTTTAAAATATATTGGAATTACTGTTAGACCTATGGTTAAAAGTAAGAATAAACTTTACTGTTCTTCAGAATTGTTCCTTGGCCTTTTCCTAATTTGGCCTATGTGGACAAAACAAATCTGGTTCAATCTTTCACTGCCATTTTTTCTGTTTCTTTCGTTTTTTTAAATTTTTAAATCCTGACCCGAGGATATTTTTCCATTGTTTTTTTAGAGAGAGTGGAAGGGAGGGAGAGAGAAACATCAATGTTAGAGAGACACATTAATTGACTCCCACAGGCTCCTGACCAGGGTTGGGAAATGAGCCTGCAACCGGGGCACATGCCCTTGACCAGAATCAAACCCAGGACCCTTCAGTCTGCGGGCCAATGCTCTACATACTGGGCCAAACCAGCTAGGGCGGGGCGGGGGGGGCAAACTTTTTGACTCGAGGGCCACAATGGGTTCTTAAACTGGACCGGAGGGCCGGAACAAAAGCATGGATGGAGTGTTTGTGTGAACTAATATAAATTCAAAGTAAACATCATTACGTAAAAGGGTATGGTCTTTTTTTTCAATAGTTTTATTCATTTCAAACGGGCCGGATTCTCTTTTTTAACCTTCTGTTTTTGTCTGTATTCCACATAGGCTTGAAATAGTTTATAAGACTGCATATTGTAAAATAGAAAAAATAGTATTTTTACATATATATCTATATACGTATATGAAAAAATGTCAGGACCAGGAGGAGAAATCACGTATTGATGTATATATTTTTTAATCTCAATGCACACTTTTCCATCTTCTTATTTTGCTAGACTTAATTCATTCAAGTCTAGTGTTTTCCCTTATTTCAGTAAATGTTAGCAATTAACTGATTTTTGCTAGTCAGTTTTAGGCCATCATTCTAATAAATAAAAATCATATTTACTTAATTGTAGACACAGTGAGTAAGCAATTTATATTGAGGCTTAACAGTAACTATATAGTAGATTTTACTTTATTCTTATTTGACAAATGAAAAAAAAGAAACTTAAGTTTGGGGAAATTTTCTGACTTGTCCAGGTTTATACATAGCTAGTAAGTAGTAAAGCCGGGGTTTGTACTTTAATGCAGTGTTTACATTTGAATCTTTTAACCATGGAGAAAATACTAAGGAGGTCTTCAGGTTTTATTAGATTCAGAAGTTATTGTTAAAGATAGAATAGGATTCATTTCTGTATTTTTTTCTGTATTAGTATTATGTGAAAATACAACCTCTAGTGAAAATTTGAAGATATACAATACCTGGTAACAATTGTAGATACTTACGTTTTTAGAAAAGTGGTATCCAATGGGATTTTTAAGATCTGCTAACTTTGAGATCTTTTAGATCAGTGTTACAACAGGACATTGCATCATCTGATTGAGATTGGTAAATCTTGGCTCAGTCAGGTAAATTCATATAGATAATTTAAAACTAGGGAAACTAGTGTGAATAATAACAGCCTTACTAAACTTATTTACTAACTACATCTCTCAATATATCTGTATAAAAGTCAGTGAAATAAAATTTTATATGTGAAATAAAATTTTTTAGTATGGTGAAATCTATTTTAAATTAAAACTTTTTTAAATTTAAATTTTAGTTACTGCTCTTTTAAGGAAGCTTAAACAGCAATCCAGGGAAAGTGTTGAAGAAAAACGACCTCGATTATTAAAAGCCCTGAAAGAGGTAGGCTGTATTTCTTTGCTGATTTTGCATTCAAAGAATAATTGTAAGTGTGATTTTAAGCATTTTTAAAAATATAGTCTAATTTCTCACTAATTATTGTCAAGAAATGGTAAAAATCCTGCTTAAGTTAAGCAATAATAGCATAACAAAATACTCTGATTATGATGTATAAATGTCATCTTAATGGGAACCACCATTCACTTTGAACTAGGAAAGTAAATAAAGAATTATTGCTTTCTTAGATGAGAGCTCTAAGGAAAAAGGAGGTAGGTCATAGTTAATGGCAATAATTTTTCTTTGTCCTTTAGATTAAAAGATTTCTAAGAGCTGCAGCCCCTGCTTCTAGCAAGAGCAGTTTGCATTTTCCTTATATAATTCTTTTTGTGCCCTACCTCTTGATGGTAAGAGCTGGGCGTGCTGGCTTAGAAAGAGAGGTTTATTTTCTGATGTTTTCTTCTGTATTTTTGATGGCTAAAAGAACTGTGGAAGAAAGATAGGCCTGTGATGATGATTATGTCTTTTCTTAGGTATGTCTTTTTTTTTTTTTGAGCTCTGAAGATATATAAATATATATATATATATTTTAGAATATTTGATTATAATAATTTCTTTAACAGTTATAGTCTTTGGGTGTTTAGTTTTTAATTTGTGAAATAAAATTTTACTCTGTAGTTCTCATATGGTGACATATTATTTCAGATTAAATAAACCTTTGTGTTATTACTTTGCAGAGATAAAAGTTTCTATTTTAATGGGTTGTTTTTTTAGACCATTATGAGGCTATATAAATAATCATTTTGGAAATCATTTGTTATAACACTTCTAAAGTTATTAACTATTTTTACAATAATACTTATTGTTATTTTAGTTATGCTGAGAAAAGGAATATTTACTTATGCAAATTTAAATGTCTATCAGTTTCAGATATTTTCCTATGTAATTAAAATGTTATAAAATCTATAGTGGTGCATATTTTCCTTTGTAGATAAATGTGTGCTATTGTAATGTTTTATTTTAAATAATGGACATTATTTTCTTTTTCTCTAATCTAAACATTGAAATTTTCTATTTTTGTCTATAGATCTTAAATGATAACAGATTTTTAAAAAGCAAAATGTTAAGTAGATATAAGAACTATTAACTAAGGTGCATTCAGTAATTATTCATATTTCATTTTCTAGCTAGGTGACTTTTATCTAGAACTTCACTGGGATTTTCAAAGCTGGGGTAAGAGTGTGCTATGTTTTACTATAACATATGTACACACGCAGAATTGCAAATGTAAAAAATAACTATTGTATATACTTGTTAACATAACAAATTTGATACTTGCCCCAGGAAAATTAATATTTACCATTATGTTGAATGTAATAAACTGAAGTGGTTGTTTGTAAAGCATTGAAGTGGTATTTCATTATCTCAACCTGATTAGTAACTTTTATAATTTTTATTTTAAGATTAAAAATGTCTTACATTTTTAAACAATGAAATGCAGGTTTAAATATTATAGTACTTTAAGGAATGTTCAGAGGAAGAGAGAACAATTATGAGATTATTAGATTACTGAATTAAAGGAAGTTTGATATAGTACTTGGATCCCTGAATGTGCAGAATTTGGTTAACATTTGATTTTGGATATTTTATCAGCTTTCAATCATTTTGGCCACTTTTCCTCTATACTTTATAGCTACTGTCTTTTTTTTCATTTTAAATATATTTTTATTGTCTTCAGAGAGAAAGGGAGAGGAAGAAAGACTGAAACATCAGTGATGAGAGAGAATCATTGATTGACTGCCTCTTGCACGCCCCCTACTGGGGATCAAGCCCGCAATCTGGCTTGTGCCCTTGACTAGAATCGGGACACTTCAGTCTGCAGGCCGGTGCTCTGTCCACTGAACCAGACCGGCAGGGTTATAGCCACTGCCTTAACATACTGTTTGGTTGCACACTGTTTCTATTATTTATGAAAGACCTTAATTCCAAGATATTTTTCAGTCATTTATTTTACCTTAGTAAGTTTCTCTTTTCCCCATTGTTTAAATAGGGAGCTTGATCCTAGTGACCTTAACTAACTAAACTGCCAAAACAACTAAATTTTGTTTAAAAGTTTTAAACAAATGTAATGTGTATATATATGAGCTTACATTTTTTTAAAGCATCTGAATTAATTTTATGATATAAAGATATTTGAATGCTCTATGATACTTACCCCAAAAATAATTGTAAAAATAAATCATAAAGTAATTATAAAAGTAAGATATTGACAAATATGGAAATCACTGTTAACGTTTCATACTAATGTTTCGAAATTTTTTTTTAATGTTTACAAATGTGTGAGTGTGGGTGCACAAATATATGCTTAGCATTCTTTTTATAAAAATATATTTTTATTGATTTCAGAGAGAAAGGGAGAGGAAGAGAGAGATAGAAATATCAATAAGAAAGAATTATTGATCGGTGGCCTCCTACACATCCCCCACTGGATATGGAGCCCACAACCTGGGCATGTACTGTGACCAGAATGGAACCGTGACCTCCTGGTTCATAGGTCAACGCGCAACCACCGACCCACACCAGTTGGGCCTGAGCATTCTTTTTTTAATGGAATTATACTATTATATGATTATACAATTTGTCATTCTTATTTAATATATCACAGGCATCCTACCATATTCATGAGGAAATAATTCATTTATTTTAACAGCTGCATAATACTTTACAGCATGGATGATTAAGGTTTTCCTAATGTTTTTCATCTCTAAATGTAAAGTTTTAATTCCTAAATAAAATTAGTTATTTCCAAAATTGTTACAATTCTACCTGATCAGGCTAGTTTTGGCTTCATCAAAATCACACATGATTTTGTTATTCTGATAGGCCTACCTTGCCTTTTTGCTTTATATATAATCCAGAAGCCCTGGTGTAATAGACCACTGAGAAGAAAAGAGGTTTGTAGTGGCTTTGAATAATAAAAGAGCTCCAAGTCAAATTGGTCTAAAGTCAAAATACATTTTTTCACTCTGTTTTTTTAACTTTTATTGAGACCCTATCTTCCTTGGTGATCTTAAAATAAGGGTGTCCCTTGAGTATAATGGTTCTTTAACTGATTCTCTTAGTAATATTAGTGGTTTAAATTCTAAAATAGTCCATTTACCTTGCTGAGCAAAATGTTTTAAAATATTTTGAAAGTGACAGTTCAGTTATATAAAGAAATAGAAATGGATGTAATCACTCCTGAAAGTGTACATACATCTGTAGTTACAAACACATTATAAATGTTGCATAATCAAATTCATGATGCAACCCCTGAGGTACTTGTTGAAAGTATTGGGGTTTTTCGAGAACTTGACTTTGACACAAAAAAGTCAGCACATCTATTTGTTGCTGATAAAGGATTTTTCTGATACCGTGTCAAACCTAGCTCCTGATGGTTAGATAGCATATGTAATTCTAAAAACTAAAACTCATTGACTAGATTTAGCTTAGACACTTTGGATTTAAAAACACTGGATAATTTTTATTATTAGGTTCGATTATCAAACTTTATTCTAGAGTTCAGGCATGTTTCTTCTCCTTGTCAAAACCCCTAAAAAAAGGGGGAGGGCAATCCAGAAGTTAGGGGAAATCTAAGAAATACTGAGATCCCAGGATTAAGTTTAATTTAAAGGAAGTGGAGCATACAAACTCTACTCTTTCCTGTGCTGTCATATTCAGTGTTTGGCTGAAAATAGCCTCAGACTTGGTTAAAGTGGGGATAATAATTGCCCCATCTTTTGCAAATTTTTGTTTTGTTGTAAATGAAATGTAATCATGTTTTTGAAGGAAGCCCTATATATTGTAAAATGTTAAATAATTTACAGTATCATAATCACTACTTCAAAATTAGGATTATGCATATAACATGTTTCAACAGAAAAACTGATAATTTAAAAAGTTTCTTTATCTCATTATCTACAGAATATTCATTCTACCCTATATATTTGGGGTTGTTATTTGCATATTATGAATGGAAAACATTAGGCTTAGAGATGCTAATTAAAATCAGGAAGTAAGTGATAGCAAAACCAAAACTTAAATTTAGAGACTCTTCATTTTTCAGTTTAGTAAATTATGCTACCTTTGGAATGGCATGTTAGACTCTCATATTATACTGAGTTAACTTAAAATATAGAGAATTTAATTGTTCAGTTTACACGGGAAAGGAAAAAGTCATCACAGAATTGGGAAAATATAAATTGCTCTATTTTTAGAATTCATTTCATAGCAGTATTCTTTTTTGTTGATACTATTCCCTCTTTCCTTTTGTTTTGTAGCTTTTTTGCCACTCTCCCAAATCCCCAAGCTTCTTTTTTGCATATCCTGATTTTTTATTTTATATAAACATATTTAACATCTTTAAATGCTCTTCAGAAACATTTTCAACTACAAGTATATTCCATCATTCTTGTTTTATATTTAAGTGATTTTCTTATTTTCTGCGTTAGATTTTTTTCTTGAGATTTATTTATGAAATAATTTTTGAAATTGTGCTTATGAAAAATTACTTCTAAGCATTTTATTTTCTCTTTGCATTCATTTCTTCCTCCTTTTCTGATTTTTCTAAATTTTGTTTTTATAGGTTTCCATACAATTTCAAAAAAATGTAGTAGATTAGGTTAAATTAATTTCGAATGCTATCTTCTGATCATTTTTTTCATGCTACATCAAATACTTGAGGAAGGAAAACTGGATTTCAATTAATGAGCATGAAAGAAGAGCTTTGACCATTGACATCAATTTACACTACTATTGCTTTTCTCAACTTCTATTGTTTCGTATAAGGGATTTTTTTTTTTATCAGAAAATGATTTCTTATATACTTTGATTAGGGTAACTGTTAGTTGGTATCCATTCTCTTTGGGCAGTAAACTTATTTTTGTATAGTAAAATGTCTAGAAAACAGTCTTCATTCCTGGAAATCATTTTAGATTCAATAACCTCTCACGATTTTAAAAAGAAATTGATATATTAAATGTACTTTTAGTGTTTAGAAAATATTGATACTTCTGAAAAAGCTAACTGAAAAACTGGTCTTTAATTTTCTCTGAAATTTTTGTTTCTTTCTAACCCAGGTTGATTTAGCACCCATTTTAAACACTGAATTTAAAAAAATATACCTGTAGCCCACTGGTGTGTCTCAGTGGTTGAGTGTTGACCCAGGAACCAAAAGGTCAGGGTTCAATTCCCGTTCAGGGCACATGTCTGGGTTGTGGGCTCAATCCCCAGTAGGGGGTGTGCAGGAGGCAGCCAATCAATGATGTTTCTCATCCATGTTTCTAGCTCTCTATCCCTCTCCCTTCCTCTCTGTCTCAAATTATATATATATACATATATATATATATATATATATATATGTATGTATGTATGTATGTATGTGTATATATATATACACACACACATATATACACACACATACATATACATACATACACACGTATATATACATATATGTGTAAGATATCTGTCTGTCTATCTATCTATCTATCTATCTATCCATTTACCTATCTGTATACATGCACACACACTAACATACACGTCTGATATGATCTTACTTTCAGGAATCTTGAACTTCATATTTTTTTCTTTTTTTGGTATGTGGTAGTTTATTATAACCCGATACACAGATTTATTCATCCATACAATAACTCCTAGTTCCCCAAAGTATGGCAGATAATAACTAATAAAAAGCTATCAAAAGATAGCTGTGATATGAATGTGAACAACATGGAATATAGACATCTATAAGTAAACAGTAGGATTTTATAGATTTTTGAAACTGAGGTTCAGTGTGCTTAAGTAACCAAGGTCACATATTTGGGATTCAAACTCAAATTCAGTTATTTAGATTTAAAAATGTCTTTTTCTGTTATACACATTACTTTCTACTATCTATTTACTAGAAGCCTGGTGCACAAAAATTCGTGCACTCAAAAGGGGGCGTTCCTCAGCCCGGCCTGTGCCCTCTCGCAGTCTGGGAGCCCTCAGGGGATATCCAACTGGCAGGGAGTGGGCCTAAGCTGCAGTCTGGCCTCCCTCTGTGGGAGGCGACCCCGGCAGGCCAATCTGGGGACAGCGAGTGGCTGGCCCTACCCCAAATCGCCCCCCACTGCCGCCGCTGCCCCCCTCCCCATCACCATCCCCTCCCTCTGCCCACTGGCATGTGCCCGCTGATCTGGAGCCACCTGTTCGCTGGCCCCACCCCCCACCCATTGGTCATTCCACTGTTCGGTCAATTTGCATATCATGTTTTTATTATATAGGATTTATTTATTTTAAAATATATTTTTATTGATTTCAGAGAGGAAGAGAAAGGGAGAAAGATAGAAACATCAGTGGTGAAAGTGAATCATTGATTGGCTGCCTCCTGCACGCATCCCACTGGGGATCAAGCCTGTAACCCAGGCATGTGCCCTGACAGAGCATCAAACTGTGACCTTCTGATTTATAGGTCAATGTTCAACCACTGAGCCACACCAGCTGGGCTATTTTCTACTATTTAATCACATTATATTTAAAGGATCAGATAGGATTCAGGTCCATCCAGTTACCCATTCAGGAGGTTTTAGTTACCAAAAGGGCATAGTTTTCTCATCCTGTCTAATAAAGAGGGGATATGCAAATTGACTGTCACGCCATCACAAAGATGGCACGCAGTCCCTTCAACCCCACCAGAGTCACCCAGTCCTTTCAGGCCCCCTGGGGGAAGGTGGGGCAGGCGTATGGTGTGGCCAGACCCTCCCTCAGCCCCTCAGCTGCCCAGGACCAGCCCAAGGCACAGGCAAGCCTCGGATGTTGGCTGCCCAGCCAACGCCCAAGGCGCAAGCAAGCCTCAGATGGTGGCTGCCCAGCTGCCCAGGGCTGCCTGAGGCTCAGGTAACCAGAGCCGACCGAGGCTTGCACTGCCGGCAGTGGCAGCAGCAGAGGTGTGATGGGGGCATTGCCTTTTCCTGATTGCCAGGTCACCTCCCGCCCCTGAGGGCTCCAAGATTGTGAGAGGGGGCAGGCTGGACTGAGGGACACCCCCCTCCAGTGCATGAATTTTCATGCACCGGGCCTCTAGTCTACAATAATATCCTACAATATGTATCCACAAGGAACATTATATCAACTCTGCTACTGGTGGTGTGCAGGGGTGGTGGTGGGGAATGTGGTGAGCTATACAGCAAATACAATTAAATAATAGATACTTGTAGTTGCTCAAAATTGCTTTACGTACATTTTAGGTGGGAAAATACTATTTCAAAAGAAGTTATTATAATTTTGATGAATTCCTAAAATGTTCACGTTATTCTTCTAATTAATTTTTACCTCTTCTTTTTAAAAAATATAGTGCCTTTACTTTCCCGAATTCTGCCTTCCGATGCATGTAAAATATACAAACAAGGTATCAATATCAGGTAAGGTGATTTGATTTTTTTTCCTGAGTAATAGAAAATTGAGATTTAGAAGAATCTTTCCCCCTACCCCTCTAGTAATAGCTTACATTAGGATGTAGTATAACTTAAACATGCTGTAATAAAGTCACAACATTTTATCTCATTTGAGACATACTATATACAGATAACCAAAGGTATCAACTCTTGACTAAAACAAAGGTATTATTCTTATTCAACTACAGAATATCTAGAAGGCAAACAGTGAAGAACATGATGTAATACTAAGAAGATTTAAGATGGTCATCTCCTTGATCCTGGCTTTTTAAGGAATAAGGGACACATAAGTAGAAGACCTAATTCTTGTCCTTCTTTCCCTACTCTTATACCCTTCTGTTCCCAATGTACCCATCCATGAATCCATTCATCTGTTCAATCATTTATTCTAGTTAACTTTTTAACACTAAATTTAATATTCTTCTGTTTCCTTTTAAAACTTAAGATTGATGATTGGATCATGCGGAAAATCTGTTTTACTCATTTCAGAATTTTACTTTTATCGTTCCTTATTATCTTTAGCTTTATATTAATGTAGGTATATATGTAAATTAAGTATATGGAAGTTATATATAATGCTAGTGAATATGCCAACATATATATATATATATACACACATATATATATGTATATTAGTATATTTATAAATTATATATACATATACAAAATTACATATATATCTTTATACATATCCAGAATATTAATTTGGATATGTAAGAGGTTAGAATTGGAAATGTCTTAAAATATTATTTCATGTATACTGTTGTTTTATAGATGAGAAAGTGAAGTGATTTTTACAGGAGCACTTTGCAAATTAGTAGCTGAGCCAGGACCTCCAACTTCCTATCAGTTCCCACCATGTCACAAGGCAGAAATTTTAAAAAGCTAACTGTATAAAATTCATTATGTAATATGTTGAATTTAGAGGAAGAGATAACCTTTAGTTGGAAGTAAGTTCTAGGATAATTATTCTCAAGCAGTAGAATTAAAGTAGAAGTTTATAAATTTTTGTTTTTTTAAAAAATAACCTCTTCAGAAGTTTCCAATTATGATAGTGCTCCTGCACATTAAGTTCATGATAATTATAGAAACCTTGGAAATTACAGAAAAATATACAAGAGAAACTAGGAGAGGATTTGATAATGATGTAGGTTTAATTCAGCAGCCCATTGTTAACAGTATATTATGGATTCATAAAAAATTATTCATCAATTTAAAAATGTTTAATATAGGCACTTGCCAAAGGTAGTAGCTAATTTGGGAGAATAGTATTTTATTCCATGTGTTATACTTTAAGGTTAGTTTTAGTTTTGTTTGATTTTTAGAAATAGCAAAAAAGGAGGAACTTTCTCTTTTAAAAAAATATATCACATTTATATATGACTTTTGGAAGTAAATTTTATTGTGAATATTATGTAATAAATATAGATAATAAAACCACAAAATGGTTAAAATGGAGACATGAAAATAGGAGCCTGAGGGAGAGTCACTGTTATAGAAATGTAGGTTAAGAGGAAGCTGCTTTAATGTAGTAAGACACTCAGACCTAGGGCTTACAAGCAGCTGAGAATGAAGGAGAAATGTGATAGGTTCTAAAGCTCTTATTTCTAAATAAAGTTTATTACATTAATGGAAAGGCTGGATTTTAGGAAGTTTGGCAAAGTTTTTTTGCCTATATGACAAGAATTAACTTTTAAAAAATATGTTAACATTAAATAAAAACTTTCAAATTTAAATGTCAAAAGACTTAGTTTTTTAAAACATCACTTCAGCCGTAACCCCTTTGGCTCAGTGGATAGAGCGTCGGCCTGCGGACTGAAAGGTCCCGGGTTCGATTCCGGTGAAGGGCATGTACCTTGGTTTCGGGCACATCCCCATTGGGGGGTGTGCAGGAGGCAGCTGATCGATGTTTCTCTCTCGTTGATGTTTCTAACTCTCTATCCTTCTCCCTTCCTCTCTGTAAAAAATCAATAAAATATATTTAAAAAAAACAAACAAAAAAAACCACATCACTTCAAATAAAGCTGAATTTTAAATATATCAAAGAAATCTTTAAAGTTTACTCATACCTCATGACATGCATCTGATCATGTAAATATGTTCTTTGGTGTCAAGGAGAGATGCATATTTTATTTTTTTATTAATATTTAAACTTTTAAAAAAATATATTTTATTGGTTTTTTTACAGAGAGGAAGGGAAAAGGATAGAGAGTTAGAAACATCGATGAGAGAGAGAGAAACATCGATCAGCTGCCTCTTGCACACCTCCCACTGGGGATGTGCCCGCAACCAAGTTACATGCCCTTGACCGGAATCGAACCCAGGACCTTTTAGTCCACAGGCCAATGCTCTATCCACTGAGCCAAACCAGTTAGGGCGAGAGATGAATACTTTAGTAGAAATAGGAAAGTGTGAGCAGCTTTATTGTTGTGAATACTAAAATATTTTCACTATTAATTTTAATAATTTGAGGTGATCTGTACCCATTGACTGAAATGATCATTGCAAACTTTGCCCCATTTCAGGCTTTTCCTGTCTCAAGAGAAGGCTCTATTTCCTTTTTCAGTGCTATTTGGCATTTTTCAAGTTTTTATATCAAAAAATATTTTCTGTTTAAATCTTTGCATTTATATAAAGATTTTTTGTTCTTCATAGCCATTACATGTCAAAAATTAATATTTAGGTTCATAGGCTTAAAGCAAAGGAATAGTTGATTCATTAAAATATCATGATACATTTTATCATTATGAGGCATGTGTGATATTTATCAGGCCATATAATAAATCGGGGATATTGCAGAAGATGTATTAGGTAGTCTTATTTCAATTGCAAATTATAAAAGTACAGATGAAATAAAAAGTGACTGTTATTGATTTTAGGTGTGACTACATCTAGGAGCTTAAATATTACCATGTAACTCTATCTCTGCCTTTCTTTGTATCTCCTTTCTCAGTATTTTCACCCTTACCCCTTGCAACTCACTACCACTGTCATCCAGGATGGGCAGGAATGGAATGGAGGCAGAGACTGTTCTGGCCACCCACCCTTTTTAAAAAGTTTTTTTATGTGGGGTGTAGAGTTTCCTGATAGCTGAAGCTTAGAGTCCAAATAGGGCACTTACATAAATTGATCTGTTTCTTTTTGATACTATCAGTAGCCACACCTTATAAAGGGAAGGGATAAGCCCCTTTAACTAGCATTATTTTCTCTTAGGCCATATGTACAAGTAACAACAGGATATGTTTAGCAGTACAAGCACTAGTAGTGCAATAGCAGGCCACTGGCAGCAGACCAGAAGCCACAATTCAGTTATAAAGGTGCAGACAGGGTTCATCCCTACAGGAGTTGGTGACTTGCTTTTTTTTAGTTCTTCTTGATTTCATTCTGAGGGAATATGTATATTTTATATGGCTCAGAAAAGAGCTCCTTGCACATAGGATAATCAAACTTTCCTATTTGGTCTGGTTCATCCCTGTTACCCTCGTAAAATTATTAATAGGATCACTTTCACTCTAAACAAAAAACAGTTTTTTATTGATTTGAGAGAGGGAGAGAAACATTGATCTGCTGCCTCCTGCACACCCCCTACTGGGGATTGAGCCCACAACCTGGGCATGTGCCCTGACCTGGAATCAAACCAGTGACCTCTTGATGCAAGGACGACACCCAACCACTGAGCCACACCAGCCAGGGCTCACTTTTACTTTTAAAAATAACCGTTGTTATTCTTTTGATGCAGTATGTGAGATGTTTCATTTCTCAGCTTTTTTGTTTAGGGAAACCAAGAATGCCCATTCACTTTGCCTTGTTCAGGGTGAAAACTGAAAAGCCTACAAAGTAATGAATTCTTATAATCGCATTAGAACTCAGTAGCTGGAGTGGATCTTTCACAGAGACTTAAAGGTGTTTCCTTGGGCATGATCACCATCATGTAACAAATGTGTCAACCCATTTCTTAGATTAAGGACTATGTTTTGAGCAGTTAGAGAGGTCCTGATGTGATCTACAAAGTCTTCAAACATTGAAGAACTTTAGGGTACTTGGGAACTTTCCCATTCCAGTATTCTCCCTAATTTCAGCAAGTAGTGATTTGTGAAATTTGAGAGCAATTCATTGGGGTAGACTGTCAGGTCTTGGTTACCAAAGAGCACAATAAATACACTAAAGTGAATCTGTGAGCTTTTGACATAGGAATGATCCATAAGATTTTCAAGCTGTGGAGATGTTGGAAAAGAGAATGCTAATTGAATCTAGGAAGTCAAACAGAAAGGCTGAAAGATTTTGGGATAATTTAAGCGGGTTACCAAGTGGAAGGATGAAGCAAGTTTTGGTACCTGATGGTTAGGGATAGGGCATAGATATAGAGCAAAAGGCCAAGAATGTGGTACATCCTTTGCTTTTACAACCTTCTTAATTACTCTGCTGAGTCAGTAACATGGTCTTAAAGGAATCAAAGAATATTAGACAGGTTTGCTTTCTTTTTCTGTCCTGAAGTTATTTTTATGGATTAGTTACAGTAAGGGAAATGGTAGGGAACAAAGGCACAATATTTCAACAATGGGGAAACAATCTTTATTAGAGTATATAGTCAGAAAAATGAAATACTTGTAAAATGGAATATATTTAAATATCTTTTTGGTGTTTTTTTTTTTTTTTTTCAAATAAGATACTTTAAACTCAGTTGTGTGTGTTTTTCTCTAAATTTGACTTTGAAATATGGTATTAGCATCTTGGTTTGAGTTTAGAAGGAACAAAGTTTGGTTTAATTATTATGGACTGTTATTGAAATTTATTTGTCAGAATTTCTCATCCACATATCTTTCACAGGCTTGACACTACTCTCATAGACTTTACTGACATGAAGTGCCAACGAGGGGATTTAAGCTTCATTTTCAATGGGGATGCAGCACCCTCTGAATCTTTTGTAGTATTAGACAATGAACAAAAAGTTTATCAGCGAATACACCATGAGGTGAGCATTCCTCTAAATGGTTTTTAAAACATGTCTTCTTATGGAACCAAGTGTCAGTGTAATTGTTTCAAAGGGCTTAAGGTATAATTGGGATTGATCCTAAAGCTTTTATTTCCTTACTACTAGTTTTTTAGTTTTATTTTATTTTATATATTTTCATCTGGTTTTCATCTTGATCAAGCCAGTGAGTCTGTTTGCTCATAATTCACTGATGATCTTCTAGTTAGGTGAACTCCATTTTCTCTTAGTTCTTATTTGTTGAATCTGCGCTGTCCCTTTTGCCATTTATTATCTTACAACCGTCGCTTCTTTTAAAATGTTACTGACCATCCCTATCTCTTTATTTGTACTTTGATTCTCTGTCTGTACTCTTATTTTTCCTCACTCTTTGACTGCCTTTCTTTTATCTTTTTCTTCTTAAAGTACAAAATTATCTTCCTTTCATCACATCAGAAATCTATGTTGGGGTTGCCTACCCAACCATCATTGAAAACCAAATGCACCATTATCCTCATCCTTTAATTTCCTGAATGCCCCTTTCCCTGCTTTTAGAGATGCTGGAAAGACAAAGCTTTTCTAGTATCTCTATCATTGATAGTACTACAAAATTTTCTTAGTCAACATTTTGTTTTGTCACTTTTTAAATTTTGTTGTTATTTTTCACCACTTCATTTCTGCATATTGTCATTCACCACACCTTATGGTTCCTTCCTCAACATCTCTTAGATTAGAACTTCCTACTACCATATCTGTTGATGAGACCTTAGTTACCTTGTACGTGTACTATTGAAAAGTAGTGTCTTAACTGGCACTGAGCAATGAAGATTTAGATTGGAAGAGGAGAAGGTATTCCTTGTGGAGCACACAGGGTGAGTAAAGTCAGGGAAGTGGGAATAAGAATGGTCTTTTGGGGAAACAGAAAAGAGATCTGAGTAGAGTGAAGTTTTCTCTTACTGAGTATGCAAACATGGTTTATGGCAGGTCTTAAAAGCCAGAAAACTTAGGATTTGCTGTAGTTAGTAACAAAGTCATAGATTCTTAAATTATTGATATCATCTAAAAGTAATTCAAGTGAATTAATCTTATGCATTTCTTTCACTTTCCCTCCCTTCCTTTCTTAAACATTTATCAAGGACCTAGTAAATGCTAGACACTTCTAAATGCTATGGATAGTGGATCTGTATTAATAGTGTATCTCCATTATTATTATATAATTATATTAAGCATTAATTGCCAGCATATTGGAACTATTATTTAAGTACTTTAATTAAAAAGTATTTATCATTAAATTCTTAAAATAACCTATCAAAGTAAGTACTTTTATTATCTTCATTTTTTTGTCTTTTTGCTTTATTGTTATGAAGCATCTTTAAAATTACATATGTTGCCCTGACCGGTTTGGCTCAGTGGATAGAGCATCAGCCTGCGGACTGAAAGGTCCCAGGTTCAATTCCGGCCAAGGGCATGTACCTTGGTTGCAGGCACATCCCCAGTAGGAGGTGTGCAAGAGGCAGCTGATCGATGTTTCTCTCTCATCGATGTTTCTAACTCTCTATCCCTCTCCCTTCCTCTCTGTAAAAAATCAATAAGATATATTTTTTTAAAAAAAATAAATAAAATAAAATTACATATGTTAACGAAGCCAGTATAAACTTTGATTACTTTGTGAAAAGTTGAGTGAGCTTATCCTCTCTCTGCCATGCTGTTACTTAACTGTAAAGAACACCTGGCCCTAAAAGGTTGGATTCATTTTCCCCTGGGGAGGGATTATGTTCATTTTACACATGAGAAAATTGAGGCTTACAAATATTAAATGACATGTTCAAGATCACATAGCTGGTATGCAGAATGGATTGCAAAAGGAAGAGATTGGAGGCAGGGAAGTTATGGTTATACAGTTTAGAGGGGATGAGGTTCTTAACTAAGATGGTGTAGTGAATAATTAAGAAAGAGAAATTATGACTTATATTTCCAAGAATGAAATAATAGGACTTGCTAAATAGGTTGAGTGAATTAAGAATTGGAAAGATTTAAGGGTGAGTGTAGTGATTCTGTCTTGAGGAGTGGAATGACGGTTTCCACTGATAAAATTGGGTTATTTGGAAAAGGAAATAGGTTTGGGGTTTTGGATAATGCTCATTTTGAGTCCATTGCTAAAACCAGCACACCTGTTTCAACCTTCTCTTTATTAGACTTCTTTGAAGTATTTGCTATTATTGATAACTCAGTTCTTAAAATTTTCATTTCCTTATGAATTGACCTTCGTCTGTTGTTCTTTTCTCTCCATCTTATTCTCCTTTCCCTGTTCCCTACTCACCTGTTTAATCTTGATTTGCCTCTGATGTGGCCCTCATTTTTACAAACTGGCAGAATAATCTCTTCTATTCTCACAAAGTATGTATTTGTACCGCAGATAAATCTTCTGAGTGGAAACCTATCTACTCAAATGGGATATCATGTATGTCTCCAAGATAACTTCAAAATTTAGTTTGTCTAAAGCTAAACTCATTATTTTCCCTCCAAGCCTCCTTTTTTTTCCTTTTTCCCCATTTTCCTTCTTTTCGTGAATGACGTCATTTTCTATTCATCCAGATAACTGAGAATTATTTTTGACATCTTTTCTTATACTTCATGTTTTCTAACTAGAGATTATGTATAGTCATTTCTCTTTCCCTGTGTCTAATAAATATCCCTTTTTTTTTCCATAGGGTTAATGCCTCAATTTAGATATTCATTATCTTTCAACTCGACTATCACAAGTCTTATAAATGATCTTCCTGGCCCCCTTCTGTTCTGCTTCTAAATTATCTCACACATTGGAGATAGATTAAATGTTGAAAACAAATTTATGAAACCTGCCTTCTTTAAAGACATTTTAAAGTTTCCTGTTCCTAAAGAGGGAAATCCACATTCCTTAGCATGATATGGTTACTTCTGTGACCTGGTTTTTCCCGCCTTTTTCTTACTTTGCTGTCTTAGATACAGTAGTACTTACCTCTTTGTAATTTTTCAGACATGCCAGGCTATTTAGCGTTTATTTTATTGTTCACATTGTTTCCACTTCCTGGAATGCCCTTCTTCTTGCACCTTCATACTTAAGGGGCACTGCTTAGTGTCACTTCCTCCCCTGCCAGGTGACCATTGTTTTCTTTATGCTTTCGCTGAATATGGTATCAAAGACCCTCTTCTGCTATTTGTTTATGTGGCTTTCTTCCTTTGTGGGGTTAAACCCCTCACGGTTATGGGGTTCATTTAGTTGTAGTCTCTGGTACCTGATACAGCATCAGTACTTTCTAGGCAAGAGTTTGGGAACCTTTCTGTAAAGGTATAGATCAGCGGTTCTCAACCTGTGGGTCGCGGCCCCTTTGGGGGTTGAACGACCCTTTCACGGGGTCACCTAAGACCATCGGAAAACACATATATAATTACATATTGTTTTTGTGATTCATCACTGTGGTTTAATTATGTTCAGTTTGTAACAATGAAATTGGGGGTCACCACAACATGAGGAACTGTATTAAAGGGTCGCGGCATTAGGAAGGTTGAGAACCACTGGTATAGATAATAAATATTTTAGATATTAAGATATATTTGCATGCCATATGATCTCTGTCACAACTACTCAACTCTGCTGTGATTAGTATAAAAGCAGCCAGAGATATTATGTACATGAATGATGAAAAATGTAGTGGATTGGATTTGGCCTGCTGGCCATAGTTTGCTGACTTTTCCTATAGATTCAGATATTTATTAAATAATTTGACCTATTGCATATTAAATGAGAATAGCATAGCTAACTAGGCAGAGGTAAGTGGAAATATGGTACTGAAAGAGAAACCAAAGATTAAGGCTAGTGGTGTAAACATTAGCTGATGTTAGAGTATTGATGAAGTCACCACCAAAGGACTGGTATTTAAGGTATGTATATGTGTGTATTTTATGCCTAAAACTTACAGATAAGCTGGATTTTGAGTAATAATCCTTAAGAAGGAAATACTTGTTTATTCTAATGGGCATATATAAGTAATAACTGTTCAATGAATGTTTGTTGAATGGATGTAATAGTTTTTTTTCAATGATATGGTGATGATCAGTCTATGATTTATAGAAGAGTTCTGTTCTAAAAGTTTATTTAAAAACAGGGTGTTTGAAGCAAGGCAAATTTCTTCACAGTCTTTTTTTTTTTTTTTTTAATATATATTTTATTGATTTTTCACAGAGAGGAAAGGAGAGGGATAGAGAGTTAGAAATATCGATGAGAGAGAAACATCGATCAGTTGCCTCCTGCACACCCCCTACTGGGGATGTGCCCGCAACCAAGGTACATGCCCTTGGCCGGAATCGAACCTGGGACCTTTCAGTCCGCAGGCCGACGCTCTATCCACTGAGCCAAACCAGTTAGGGCTCTTCACAGTCTTATATGTAATGTTGTTCTCAAGCTAATACACAAAATCCTAATTGATTGTAATATATTTGTAAGATAATGTCTGACAGTTCTGTATAACCTATGTCTGCCCAAAATTTTCTTAAGAAAATTGTGTTCTGAATTAGTTTGGGTTACCAGAAATACATTTGTACCTTAGCATTAATATCAAGAGTTTCCATTCCTCACTTGTAAGGGTGAAGGAAATGGTACTATCCCAGTCCCAAGGTATTGCTGTTTTTCCTATAGACGATAGATTAAGAATTGGACTATATCTGGGTGAAAGTTCAAGGGTGAAAAATAGAAAATGGGCCTCTTGATAATCTATAATAATAAAAGCGTAATATGGTAATTCAACTGGACAGCCAAACAACCTTCCGGACGAAGCTGGGGCTACGAGGGTCTAGGCAAGCCACCGCAGCTGCAAGGGCCAAGCCCTTTGCACGAATTTTGTGCATCGGGCCTCAAGTATACAAATAAGGAGGTGTGGGAAATCAAGCCTCTCGACCAGTGGTCGCCAACCTGTGGGTCACGACCCCTTTGGGGGTCGAACGACCCTTTCACAGGGGTCGCCTAAGACCATCGGAAAACACATATATAATTACATATTGTTTTTGTGATTAATCACTATGCTTTAATTATGTTCAATTTGTAACAATGAAAATACATCCTGCATATCCGATATTTACATTACGACTCATAACAGTAGCAAAATTACAGTTATGAAGTAGCAACGAAAATAATTTTATAGCCGAAACCGGTTTGGCTTAGTGGATAGAGCGCCGGCCTGCGGACTGAGGGGTCCCGGGTTCGATTCCGGTCAAGGGCATGTACCTGGGTTGCGGGCACATCCCCAGTAGGAGATGTGCAGGAGGCAGCTGATCGATATTTCTCTCTCATCGATGTTTCTAGCTCTCTATCTCTCTCCCTTCCTCTCTGTAAAAAATCAATAAAAATATATTTAAAAAAAAAAAGAAAATAATTTTATGGTTGGGGGTCACCACAACATGAGGAACTGTATTAAAGGGTCGTGGCATTAGGAAGGTTGAGAACCACTGCTCTAGACATTGTAAACTTCATGCACAGTTCTCATTCTCCAGCGAGCTCTCTAGATTCTGCCTTTTATTCTCCCCCCCCCCCTTTTTTTTTTCTACTTGAGACTCTTTGATCCTAAGTATCAGAGACTCTCTTGGCCTGTTAAAGATAGAATCTCATCTTTTACCTGCTCACTTACCCTCTGTACCTGATTTCTTAGTCTTCTGCTCCTGAAACAAGCACAAAAGCTTTCTCTTTTTTCTCATTTAAAAAGTAATTATTGATCACGTATTATGTGCGAGCACTGGAGAATATGCAGAGAATAAAACCAGAAGTAAGGCTACTTATCAAGTTTAGAAATCATAGGTTGATATGTATGGATTTCTTTTTTCCCCCCCAAGAAATACAGAGCAAATCCCTTCTGGACTGCTTTTCTTTCTTCCTTCCCTTCCATCCTTCCTTCCACTTAAGAACTATTGAGAAAGAGAGGCTCAAATGATAGTGGTCGGTCTTTAGATTAAAAAGAAATGAAGTAGCCGAAACCGGTTTGGCTCAGTGGATAGAGCGTCGGCCTGCGGACTGAGAGGTCCCAGGTTCGATTCCGGTCGGGGGCATGTACCTGGGTTGCGGGCATATCCCCAGTGGGGGATGTGCAGGAGGCAGCTGATCGATGATTCTCTCTCATCGATGTTTCTAACTCTCTATCTCTCTCCCTTCCTCTCTGTAAAAAATCAATAAAATATATATTAAAAAAAAAAAAAAAAAGAAATGAAGTAAGATTCATCTTTGTTGAAAGAAAATGAAACCTTCATATGGACATTTTGTCTCACACCTGTCAACTTAATTCTTTAAGTAATCTTTTAAAATTGCCCTACATACTGTATGTTTCTGTAATGGGTAATCTAGTATTGTTTCAACTACATTATGTATAACAGTGTAAGAGTACAGTATTTCATGTATCCTGTACTTATAGATTCATAATTAGTCATAATTCTAACTTACTTAGATATATGTAGTTTAAAATTCTGTAATTGTTTTTAGAATAAGTAGGATTTAACATTTTTTAGAATTTGTTTCCTTTTTAGGAATTCATAACATTTTGTTATTTTCATGTGTCATTCTAATAACCTTTGAAAACCTAGGTTCTAATATTTAACTTTTACCCCCTCCCCAGGAATCAGAGATGGAAACAGAAGAGGAGGTTGACATTTTAATGAGTAGTGATATTTACTCTGCAACTCTATCAACCAAATCAATTTCTTTCACACGTGCCCAAACAGGATGGCTTTTTCGGGAAGATAAAACAGTATGTACAAATCTAGATTTTTAAACTTTAAAGATTGTTTAGAATTTAACGTTGCCAAAATAAGGTGATGGAAATGCAAGAAGTAGCTTACTGAATTGTCTTCAAATAGTTTATTCTCTCCACTTTGTGACCACATAGGGAATTATAATGGTTGGTTACAGAATTGGAACATATTCTTAGAGAAGCCAAGAGGGAAAGTTTAGTTCATTGAATTCCATGTTGGGAAAGATTCTTTTTGTCAGCTGTCTTGTCCTCACATGTTTCCATTATATTTCTAATGCTTTATTCCTTAGGAAGACCACAAAGGGATACACTTTTGAATTCATTTCCCTGGATATTTTTACTTTCTATTCTTAGACTTCTAAACTATTTACTTATCTAATAGCGGTTTCTCAGTATTCCATATATATGACTAAAATGAAATATGCTTATATTTTTTACAATACTGTCATTAAATTAAATTTCATTGAAGGTTTCTCTTTAGTGAATTGTAAATTTTTCCCATAATTACCATTTTACCTGTCAAGAAGAGGTTATGTAAGAATGCTCAAGCCCTAGTCTGGTAGCTCAGTTGGTTAGAGTATCATCCTGATGCACCAAGGTTGCAGGTTTGATCCTCAGTCAGGGCACATACCAGAAGCAACTGGTGAATGCAGAAGTTAGTGGAACAACAATTGATGTTTCTCTCTCTCCCTCCTCCCCCTTCCTTTCATTCTCTAAATCAATCAATAAAGAAAAAGTTTTTTTAAAAATGTTTGAAATATTCTTAGACTTTATTTATTTATATATTTTTATTTATTTCAGAGAGGAAGGGAGAGGGAGCGAGAGATAGAAACATCAATGATGAGACAGAATCATAGATTGACTGCCTCCTTTATGCCCCCCACTGGGGGTCAAGCCCACAATCCTGGCACGTGCCCTTGATCGTAACTGAACCTGGGACCCTTTAGTTCACAAGCCAACACTTTATCCACTGAGCCAAACCAGCCAGGGCTCTCAGGCATTTTTTAAATTAGACACATGAAGAAGCATTTTATAAAATTTTAAGGTCAATAAGTAATCAGATCAGGTAAGGGCCATACTTATTACTTTTAAAAATTATATTCATCTTATATTACACTAGAGGGCTGATACACAAAATTCGTGCAAGAGTAGGCCTTCCTTCCCCCAGCTGCCGACACTGGCTTCCCTCTGGCACCTGGGACCCGGGTGCCAGAGGGAAGCTGGTGTCGGCAGCCAGGGGAAGGAAGGTCTACTCCTGCACGAATTTCGTGCATCCGGCCTCTAGTAGATGTATAACTAGATATTTAGAGAGAGAGAAAGAGGGGTGTGTCAGGAGAGATTGATTTATTTTAAGGAATTGGCTCATGTGAATGTAGGAACTGGCAAGTCTGAAATCTAGAGCAGTGCGGTAGACTGGAAATTCAGGGAAGAGTTGATATGGTCTTGATTCTGAAATCTCAGGCAGGGTTTCTATGTTGCAGTCTTGGGACAGAATTGCTTTTCCTTTGGGAAACAGGCTTTGCTCTTAAGGCCTGCAATTGATTGGATGAGGCCCACCACATTATAGAGGGTAATCTGCTATATTCCAAGTGTACTGATTTAAGCGTTAATCACACCTAAAAAATACCTTCATTGAAACATCTAGACTGGTGTTTGATCAAAAGATTGGGCACCATAGTCTTGCCAAATTGACGTAAAATTAACCACCACACAACCTTACATATAAAGTTAAATGTTCCCTTTGGCCACTACTCACAATCCCAGAGCACCTTGCAGAAGGTTATCTATTTATATATCCTTCAGACCCTTTTATATGCTTTCCATAAATAATGTGTTTATAGTCATCTGTAACTTTAATTGTTGATACTTATTTTTTCATAAAGTGTTATACTTATTTTTTGCAACTATTTTTTTTCTCTTTAGTATGTATTAGGTGCTTTTTCTTATTAGTAGTGCTACTTCATTCTTTTTAACAACTGCATAGTATTTCATAATATGGGTATGTTGTAGTTTATTTAGCGAGGCTCTTTTTTTGGACATTTAAATGAATGGACACACATTTTGTCCAGTTTTCTGCCTTTATGAATGATGTTGCATTCTTTTACATTCCTTTGCAGTGTCTGTAATAGATAGCAAGAAATAAAATGGCTGAATTATAGAGACTATACACTACAAATTTATACTGTTCTGATGGTTTACTTTTAATAAATGCTTTTTATTGTGAGATTTCAAAAACTGATAATTATCACCTGAGCATCTCACAACCACAGAAAAAATCCTCACTGTAGATCTAGGCTCCTCAGCTTTCCTCTCTAAGCTATTTGGCAACAAATAGCATATAGGATTCCCAGTTGTGAGCTCCTACACTGCAATCCATTTGTTGGCTTAAGTCTTATTTATTTGTACTCTGTTCTTCTGGACAGCATTAGAAGGATCACTTCAAGAGAAGATAAAAATTGAAGCTGCTATTCATCTAGTGCTACTGCTAAGCAGCTCAAAGCTCTTGAACAGCATCTAGGTGATCTTCTTAAATCTTTGACAGGTAAGGAGGGAGTCAGTAATGCTTATGGTTCCCATTTTGTAGGTAGAAACAGGTGCAGAATGCTTTGCTTTCTGGTTACTGGTAAAAGAGCCACCAAAAGCGAGGTGGACATGGAAACAACTGTAAACACATAGTTTTGGAATGCCAGAACACAGTAGTAAGTAGGAGACCAGGTGATTTGCATGCAGGTGAAACTGGGAAGCTTGCTTTCCATCATGTTTTTTGAAGTAAAATATTTCAAACTCTGATCTCCTCTTTGGTCTGATTTAAAAGGGTGATGTTTTATGTTGAAGGAAATAACAACTCTCTTCGTAATGTCCCTTAAACCTCTTGAGTTTCCCTATCCCGCATTTCTAATATAAACAGTGGTATTGGTGAGCTGGACTGCTCTGTTATTCTCTCTTTGTTGGAAAGTAGTAACTAAATGTAACTTGAGGCTTGATCCTGTTAAAAAATAGAGTATTGGAACAGGTAATTAATTCTAGGTGTCCTAGAGATTTCTATGTGACTTAGACTATTTCTTTTTATTCCACTTTCTTTTCTATCTATAAAATGGGAACAGTAATTATCCCTGACCCCTCCTTGTTACTTATGATGTTTGACTTTAACTAAATAAAGTTTTCAGATAGCTTTGTGCTACTTGGGAGTAGATTCTAAAGGAATACTATGTGGTATTTTTATTTAAATTTAACTCATTTTCAGATTAACACATTGTATGTGGGAAACGTATTTATACGTTTTACATATCTATACATTCTACCAGTGTAGTAGAGTGCGGGATACGTATTAATATGTTTTTTATAGACTAGCGGTAGAATGCGGGTAACGTATAAATACGTAAACTAAAGTTATTGTAATTTTACTGAACGTTGCCATTTGCACAAAAAATTAGCAAAAATGGCCCGTGCCACCTGTTAGCGCGCGATAAAAACTACCCACAAACAGTGTGTTAACTACCATACGTATGTGTGTTTTAAATTTTTCTTTACAAATTTGAAATGTGTAATCCTATATAATAAAAGGCTAATATGCAAATCAAATGAACAGTGGAATGACTGGTTTGCTATGATGCGCACTGACCATCAGGGGGCAGACGCTCAACACAGGAGCTGCCCCCTGGTGGTCAGTGTGCTCCCATGGCGGAGCACTGCTCAGCTAGAAGCCAGGCTCACGGCTGGCCTGGCGAGCATAGCAGCGGTGGCAGGAGCCTCTCCTGCCTCTACAGCAGCACTAAGGATGTCTGAACCCCCCAAGGGTTCCTGGACTGTGAGAGGGCGCAGACCAGTCTGAGGGGACACACACCGTGTGCCCCCCACCCCCCAGTGCACGAATCTTGTGCACTGGGCCTCTAGTTTAATATATTTTTTAACTTAATAGAGTGCATAAGACAATTCGGTAAATTCAAGTACCAAAGGAATATTTATATATACCTTAATGTTACATAGTTATGGAAAAACATGTATATTACTTTGAAACTTTCTTGTTAATCTAAGGCCACCTTAATCTTTTTATTATGTTGAAATATTTGATTTTGTTTTAGGAAAGAGTAGGAAACTTTCTGGCAGACTTTTATTTGGTGAATGGACTTGTTTTAGAATCAAGAAAAAGAAGAGAACATCTCAGTGAAGAAGATATTCTTCGAAATAAGGCCATTATGGAGAGTCTTAGTAAAGGTGGAAACATAATGGAACAAAATTTTGAGGTATAATTTTCACTTCTAATTTATAATGTTTTAAGGAGAGAGGGGGTAGACTCTGTTCCTGGCATTTAGTGAGTTTATATAAGTACACACATAGGTTTTGTTTACTATATACAATACACCTTTTGGTGGTGGTGTTTTTTTATATATATTGCCTCTAGTGATATTTTTGTGTGTGTGAATCTGTTCTTGGTCTCTGAGGCTTCACTAACAAATAGATTAAATCATTTTATAAGCATGAAACCCAGTATTCATTTTTAATCCATGTTCCTTTGCATATATTCTTTTTCCTATTTCACTAATTGAAATCACTGACTGCTTTGAAGGCCGAAGTAATGGTCCACTTACTTTTGAAATCATTTCTAGCCTATAACTTTGCATAGTGTGCCAAGTTCCAACTAAGTCATGGTAATGTTGTGTGTGTGTGTGTGTGTGTGTGTGTGTGTGTGTGTGTGTGTGTGTGTGAAAATATTTTAACGTTTGCAAAGTTCATGTATTAAGTGAATCAGCCATGTAGTTCAATTAAATAAGTATAGGATGTAAAATGTTTGAGAATTCCCCCATTCAATGTTTAAGTTAAAATTGTGATCATGCTAGTTTAGTGTGACCCTGTTTCCTTCCTACCAGATCCTCCTTAGATTTTTTCTGGCTTTGGGATAGAGTTGTGCTTCATCAGACTTCATTTTTCAGAAGCCCACCTGGTATTTACTGATATCTTGATAACTAGGAGATACAGGACATGATATACTCAGGAAATAGAAATAAATTGAGAGAAAAAATGCTGCGCTCAATTTTGGACAAAACTGCTTCTCTCACCCATTGTTGACCAGACAAAAAGGCCATTTCTTTGGACTTATATTGTGACTTAAATTTTATTTAGTTATTTTTAAGAAATGATTTTGTTGTGGTAGTTATTGCTACCTTTGTTTAATTTTGTCAGCAAACCATTTTGGGATGAATATTTGGGGGGGAAAAACTATATAGAATAGCATTTCATGGACCATTTGCCAATTGCCTTCGATTGTCTGATTTATCTGTATTTAAACCTGCAGCATACAACTTAATTTTCTTTGTAAGATGTACTTGAATTGTTAAAGGGGTCTGCAGATGGCATTTTAATAAGTTATAGTTTTGCACATTGAAATTAAAGATATAGTTTAATTTCAGATAGCCACATGATAGAACAAAGTAATACGAATTAAGTTAAATAAGGTTTTGACTTCTGAGCAGAAATAAAACACTTTCTATGTGAATCATAGCCCCTTGAACTTTACAGTTTTTGATGAATATTTAAATCAGCTTGTCAGTTTCTATGAAAGATAAAACATTTGCTGGGATTTTGATTAGGATGGTGTTGGACTTTTGATGGGGAAGAATTGATTAATTATATTTGAGAATCCTTTTGGAGTTCAGTTATAAATAGAAGAAATTTAAAGACAATATTAATTCTGTTATATTCATCTATGCATACAATTTGATTTTTTTTAATCTGGAATGGTGCAGGATGAAAAAACATCAAAACAGAATTGGTATTTAATTATAAAAACGATAAAAATAGCTGTGTGTTTTTTTCTCCCAGACACAGAATTTACAAACACAGAGAAAGCAGCATGGAATTGATACCAGTTTAATTATATTCCACAGTGGGCATTAAAGGAGAAAAGAAATACTTGTATGCATTTCATAGATACTTTTGGAACTACAGTTCTTTTTTTCTTTTTAATTTGTTTTCTTTATTGATTAAGGTATTATATATGTGTCCTTATAGCCCCATCGGCCCCCCCCCCCACACACATCTTCCCACTGATGCCATCACCCCCCTGGTGTCTGTGTCCATTGGTCAGGCCCATATGCATGCATACAGGTCCTTTGGTTGATCTCTCCACCTTACCCCCACCCTCCCCTACCTTCCCTCTGAGGCTTGATGGTCTGATTGATGCTTCTCTGTCTCTGGATCTGTTTTTGTTCATCAGTTTATGTTGTTCATTATATTCCATAAATGAGTTAGAGCATGTGATATTTATCTTTCTCTGACTAGCTTATTTCACTTAGCATAAGGGAATACAGTTCTTTTAAACCTAAATAATAAGCTTTTAGGAAAGGTACATATAAATTAACATGCACAGTTAAAAAATAGGTGGTCAAAAGAATAAAGGGAGGATCCTATCAAATTCAAGAGACAATCCCATTGTGATGGGGAATTGTACTTAAAATCTTAATATTAAGTTTTAAAAAACACATAAACCAGTATTGAAAATTAATGGCTGCTTGGTCACAGCTGGTAATATAAAAATGAATCGAGTGTGAAAATAATTATGTGTTATGTCAACTTGCAATTCACATAAACACAGGTTACTCAAATGCATGTACTTTAATGACTGATTATTATAACAAAACATTTTGTTGGCAGATAACAAAGAATTCTCCAGTGGCCTAATCTGAATTAAGTGTCATAAATTTAAATTCAGCTTCTACAAGTTAAAAATTGATTTCATATGCACCTCAATGAGTTTTCTTTTTTATTTATGTTGGTTTAAAACATTGGAGTTGGTTTTTTTTTTCACATTCACATAACTTTTATTATAATAGCTATACTAATAAAAGAGAAACATGCAGATTAACCATCACTCTGCCACTCTGCTACACCCACCAGCCAATCAGAGCGACTATGCAAATTAACCCAACAAAGATGGTAGTTAATTTGCATACGCAAGTGCAGAGCAAAAACTAAAGATGACTGAAGATGGCGGCAGCCACGGAGCTGGAGTGAGCAGGAGGCTTGGGTTGCTCCTGGCGACCGAGGAAGCCAAGCTTCCCACCGGCCCTGGACTCCGCTCAAGGAGTGGCTGGGGGCCGGGGTCGCTGGGGGCAACCCAGGCTTCCAGTCCACCCTGAGCTCCGCTGGAGGAGCTGGAAAAAAAGAAAGGAGGGGCTGGGAGCAGCCGGAGTTCAAAAGCCAAGCCTCGCTGCTGCGGCTGGACCAAAGGCCTGAGTCCCGGGTGCCGGAGGAAAACCAGTGCCGGTAGCCAGAGGAAGGAAGGTCTATTGCGCGAATCTTTGTGCAAAGGGATACTAGTATTTTTATAATTGTCCTATTGATACAAAGATGAATAGAACATAAGACCTGTTCTCCAGGCTCAGAGACTCAAATGGGAGATGGTGTGAAGGTAATGCCCAGTGCGCAAAAATAACTTTGGCATTGTTAACATGGGCACTGTGCTAAGTATTTTCATCTCTTTTAATTATTAGTTATTTAATGAGATGAGTGTCATTGCTCCACTTTATAGAAAGGAAAATGAGGTTTAAAGAAATTAATCTCTCTGAAGTCACAAAATTAGAAGTAGCAAAGATCAGTTCTTGACTCTTAAGTCAGTGGTTCTCAACCTTCCTAATGCCATGACCCTTTAATATAGTTCTTCATGTTGTGACACCCAATGTCGTTGTTACAAATTGAATGTAATTAAAGAAAGCATAGTGATTAATCACAAAAAAATATGTAATTACATATGTGTTTTCCGATGGTCTTAGGCGAGCCCTGTGAAAGGGTCTTTCGACCTCCAAAGGGGTCGCGACCCACAGGTTGATAACCACTGCTCTAAGTGTATTGCTTCTCTATAGTGACCCAAATGCATATTTAACAGACAAAGGTGTAAGTTTTAAAATCTGACCTGACCTTTTACCGGTGTTGATCAAATAAACAGTCTGTGTTTGACTTTCATACAATCTGAGCCCTAGTCCCCTAATCTGAATTTATTATCCATAGAACACTGCTCTCTTTTTTAGCTCCTGTACTATTCAATTTTTTTGTAAGCTCATTTGGTCTTTAATAATATAATATTTTGTATTTCTGATTAACTGTTCATGTATGGATTTTTCTTTGAATTGTAAACTCCTTGAAGTCATGGTTGGTTTTTATACTTCATATTCACTTCCTAGCATAATGCCAAGAACATTTTAGATGATTAAAACATTGATGAATGGATTTTATTACTTTGATAACTTATCTTCCTATTTGAGATTTAGAAAAAAATTGATACTAAATTACTGATAGCGCTTAAATCACCATGGAACTATCTTGGCAGTAAACTCTTAAAGCATTATATTGAAGAGATTGAACAGTTTAGTAGTTTAAATAGCTTATTATGATCAACATAATTTGATGAACAAGAATAGATCGATCTAGAGACAAATGGTAGGGGAGGGCGAGTTAGAGAGCAACTAAAGGACTTGTATGCATGCATATTAACATAACCAATGGACACAGACACTGGGGCAGTGGGATCTTGTCCAGGGTGGAAATGGCTGGGTGGCGTGGGGCAATTGCGGAAAAAGGAGACATATGTAAAACTTTAGACAATAAAAATAAAATAAGTAGTTTAAAATAGCTTTATTTTATATTTTAAAAAATGTCATTTTTCCCCCTCCCTTCTTCTGTGTCTCCCTCTGTCTGTCTCTCTGTGTGTTTGTCTCTGTCTTTCTCCCTGTCCCTCTGCCTCTTTATTTCTTTTTGGCAGCCGGTTCGAAGACAGTCCCTTACTCCTCCTCCTCAGAACACTATTACATGGGAAGAATATATATCTGCTGAAAATGGAAAGTAAGTGTTTTTTCTTTTATTTTGATTATTTTGGATTCTTTGGTTTTTAAAAAGAATAATTTGTAAAAGCAGAAATAATTGCCGAAACCGGTTTGGCTCAGTGGATAGAGCATCGGCCTGGGGACTGAAGGGTCCTGGGTTCGATTCCGATCAAGGGCATGTACCAGGGTTGCGGGCACATCCCCAGTGGGAGATGTGCAGGAGGCAGCTGATCGATGTTTCTCTCTCATCGATGTTTCTAGCTCTCTATCTCTCTCCCTTTCTCTCTGTAAAAAATCAATAAAATATATTTAAAAAAAAAAAAAAAAGCAGAAATAATGACTGGAGATGGATGAGCTTGAAAAAACAAAAAGTAGAGAAATAGTGAATGGCCTCACACACTATGCTAAAGACTCAGGGTAATGACAGAACATAACATTGGGTGTAGAATTGTTTTAGAGAGAATATAATATAATCTATAATAATAAAAGCATAATATGCAAATGGACCGAACGGCCGAACAGCGGAATGACCTTCCGGATGAAGCCGAGGCTGCGAGGGCCTCCTCTTGCACAAATTTCATGCATTGGGCCTTTGGTTATTAATAGTTTTGTCTGAAGTAATTCTTTGACCTTTTAAAATATGGATTAGGCATGATGTGCACCCTTTGAATAAGTTATAGAGCTTTCTTTTTACATTCTTGCTGCCAATTTACATTCACTAAAAAAACTTATAGGATATCATTCTAAGGAAATACAATGTGAGGAATTGCCCAGTGCCCTTGCATTTTTGAGTTCACTTTATGTAAATTTTTATGTTCTGTCATTATCTTGAGTCTTTAGCATGTTATATGAGGCCATTCACTATTTCTCTACTTTTTGTTTTTTCAAGCTCCTCCATCTTCGGTCATTATTTCTGTGCTTTAGCCTATGCCAGACTATTTCTCACTATCCTTACATAAGACATTTGCTTAATATTTTATTACTAATATTTACTGGAGTACCTAGCACATAGTTTGTATTCAGCAAATATTTGTTGAATAAAAAAATGATAAATGACAGACAACTATTTTGAATGAATCAATAAATAAAAAGTTTTTTTCTGGCCAACCATGTGAGATACTTAAAGTATAGTTCTTATAGAAAATAGGATTTTTCTTCGGCAGAGAATAAAAGATTGCCTACTCTCATGTTTAAGAAGAAGTTGCAGTGATTATTATTTTTTGTATTGAAGGTTTATTATACTTTTCTAACTTTTCCAAAATGTTTCCATTGTACAGTATTCTATAGTGAATGTAGAATTCTTTATTCTCTTTTTAAAATATATTTTATTGATTTCAGAGAGGAAGAAAGAGGGAGAGAGAGCTAGAAATATCAATGATGAGAGAGAATCATTGATTGGCTGCCTCCTGCACACCCCACACTGGTGATCGAGCCCGCAACCCAGGTACATGCCCTTGACTGGAATCGAACCTGGGACCTTTCAGTCCGCAGGCCAACACTCTACTCTATCCACCAAGCCAAACCGGCTAAGGCTAGAATTCTTTATTCTTCACATCATTTCTTATTGGTTATGCTGAGAACTACAGACAGTAAAAGAGATTGAATTGAATAAGTGATTTTTAAAGATACACAGCGTTACAGTTTTTGTATGGTTTGCTTTGTTCCTAAAAGTGCTTATTAAATTATATCAATGTGAAATTTGATCATTTTTCTGAACTTTTATACTTTGTTATCCTTATTTCTTATACGTCTCATTTTCTTTTATCAGAATTTTATTTCTATGCTCAAAGTAAGAAAATTTGAAATATTAATAAGTGTCATTGGAAAAGGACAGATTCTTCTTAAGATGATAAGACATGGAAAAAGTTTACTAATATATATATATATTTTTTCATTTTAGAGCTCCTCATCTCGGTAGAGAACTGGTGTGCAAAGAGAATAAGAAAACATTTAAAGCCACAATAGCCATGAGCCAGGAATTTCCCTTGGGAATTCAGTCGTAAGTTAGTTACTAACTAAACAAGTTTATCAAAGAAGCTACTAAACCCTAAAGACTTTAATAATATTTGTATCTGAGTGGTTCATTTGAAGCCTTTGACATGCAAAAGCAATTAGTCATTGCTTTGATAGTGTGTGTACCCTTCTTGAAATTTTTTAGTTCACAAAATAGTAATATTTTTATTATTTTAACCAGATAAGTGTTTGTATAGTTTTTAAATTATAATTATAAGAATAATACATAAATACATACATTTTTGTTGCATTTTTTTAAAAATATTTTTTTTATCGATTTCACAGAGAGAGAGGGAGAAATAGAAACATTAATGATGAGAGAGAATCATCGATCAGCTGCCTCCTGCACACCCCCTACTAGGGATCTTGAGCCCCCAACACAGGCAAGTGCCCTTGACCGGAATTGAACCTAGGACGCTTCAGTCTATAGGCTGATGGTCTATCCACTGACCAAACTGGCTAGGGCAGTGGTCAGCAAACCACAGTTCACGAGCCACATGCAGCTCTTTGGCCCCTTGAGTGTGGCTCTTCCACAAAATACCACGTGCGGGTGCACACGTACAGTGCGATTGAAACTCCGTGGCCCATGCACAAAAGTCGGTTTTTGGCCTGGGCGAGTCTATTTTGAAGAAGTGGCGTTAGAAGAAGTGGGGGGTGTCGGTCGGTTGGGCAACGGGCGACGCAGCGCAGGCGGGCCGCGGGATACGCAGCACAGGGGAAGTGTGTGTGATTCATGCACGAGTTGAGTGAGCCAGTCAGTCAGCAGTCTCGTTGTGCAGTGGTTAGTGCTAGTTGCGTCTGCAAAACGCGTGCGGGTGATAAAAGTAAAGTTTATTAAGTTAATTTTAGGGAACGTTGTGGAGTGAAAGAAGATGTAGTGTCAAGGACTGAGAAAGGTATGTTGAGATGGTTTGGACATATAGAGAGGATGAACGAAAGGAGATAGACGAAACAAGTATACAAGACGAGTGTGGATGGGAGAGTTGGAAAGGGTCAACCTCAGTGAACGTACCTCAATCAGATTGAGGACGTTTTTAGCAAAGGCCAGCTTAGGAGTACCCTAATTAAGTTAATAACAATGTACCTACCTATATAGTTTAAGTTTAAAAAATTTGGCTCTCAAAAGAAATTTCAATCGTTGTACTTTTGATATTTGGCTCTGTTGACTAATGAGTTTGCTGACCACTGGGCTAGGGCAATACATATGTTTTATTTAATATCTAATACAATGGGGTTTATAGAATAAAAATGATAGCTTACTTTCACCTTAGTAATTGTTAATAGATGATAACTGCTATATTTTTATCTAGAATTTTCTATGTTTTTGCATTTTTATAAAAATGGCATATTCTACATTTTGTTCTATGAGTTTCTTTTTTTTTCTCGTTTAAAAGTGAGTATATCTTGCAATTCTTACAGTAATTACTTTTTAGTGTCTCTTTTTCTTCTTTCTTTGTTATTTTGCAGTGTTGATTTATTGTCATTTGTTTTATTCCCCTGATGATAAATATATTGATTGTAGTTTGTCACTATTATAAACAATACTGCAGTAGACATCTCTCAAACTGTACTCATCAGATGCTCATAAAATTTTTAATTTAGAGTACTTTTTAAGGTGCTCGGGGGATGTTGTCTGATTCATGAATCAATTAAAGACTAATGATCTTCTTAAAAAATTCAATTAGCAGACTGAAGCCCCAGGCTATTTTCCTTTCCTAGTTCCTTCCCCTATTACTCTGGCCTAGGACAGTAAAAAAATCATCATAGAATAGAGCAAGACCTACATTTTTCTACAGTCTATATATGTCTCATAGCCCCCAATAGCCTAACTTGAGGAAAGGAGATAGAATGTGCTATACAGCCTTCAAGCTATAGATCAGGGATGGAGATAGATAGTTCCTATAGAATATGGGAAGGGAGTTATTCATACATACATACATGTCTGTATTATTATCATATATTAGACCCAGTTGACTAAAAAATGTACCAGTATTTTTTATTTAAAATTTATTATTATATATTTTTTTTACTTTTTTTTTCATTTATTTTTATTGTTTGAGAGTATTACAATTGTCCCCCGTTTCATCCCCACCCCTGCTTCACCCCCATCAGACTGGCTCCTGCCTTTACTGCACTATTGTCTGTGTCCATGGGCTACGCATATCTATCTATACTAATAAAAGGGTAATATGCTAATTAGACTGGGAGACCTTCCAGACATCCTTTCGGACAAAGCCATGGTGGCAGGGCCAAGGCAGAGGCAGTTAGGGGTGATCAGGCCAAGAGGGGAGGGCACTTGTGGGTGAGCAGGCCAGCATTAGGGGGCAGTTTGGGGTGAGCAGGCTGATGGGGGGGGCAGTGGAGGGCAGTGAGGCCAGTGGGGGTGGCAGTTGGGGGCGATCAGGCTGGCAAGGGGGGGCAATTAGGGGTGAGAAGGCCAGCAGGCAGATGGTTAGGGGCATTGAAGCAGGCAGGCAGGTGAGCAGTTAGGAGCCAGTGGTCCCGGATTGCGAGAGGGATATCCACCTAGGGGTCCCAGATAGGAGAGGGTGCAGGTTGGGCTGAGGGAACCCCCCCCCCCCATGTACGAATTTCATGTACCAGGCCACTAGTATATATATAAAAGCCTAATCAACCTTCCGACTGTTCAACCATCTGACCGGTAGCTATGATGTACACTGACCACCAGGGGGCAGACGCTCAATGCAGGAGATGCTGAGCTGCAGTGACTTGGCAGCTGCAGTTCTCGGTTGATGCACCCGGAACCAGAGAGGAGGGAACCTGATTCTGGGGTGCGTCACCTGAAAACCACCCTCTCGCAATTCGAGACCCCTTTGGGGGATGTCGGAGAGCCAGTTTCGGCCCGATACCTGTAGGCCAGGCCAAGGGACCCCACCTGTCAGAGGGACCCCGCTCACTGCGCAGATGCCCTTTGAGCCAAGGCGCCGCCGTAGGTGTGGCCAGCTCGGGGGGACCATGGGAGGTTGGCTCCAGAGCGTGTCTGGCCCATCTAGTTCAATCCTGCCCCAGTGGCCACCTTCTAATTAATTTCATTTCAGTGTGCATAAATCCGTGCATCGGGTCACTAGTACTCGTGTAAGTTACTTGGTTAATCTCTTTCTGCTACCCCTCTTCCCTACCCTCTGAGATCTCTCAGTCTGTTGCATGCTTCCATGTCTCTGGACCTTTTTTGTTTGTCATTTTATTTTGTTCATTAGGTTCCACATATAAGTGAGATCATGTGATACTTGTCTTTTTCTGAATGGCTTATTTTGTTTAGCATAATAATCTCCAGGTCCATACTTGCTGTCTCAAAGGATAAGAGATCCTTCTTTTTTTTATAGCTGGGTAGTATTCTATTGTATAAATGTACCACAGCTTTTTTTATCCACTCATCTACTGATGGGCACTTGGGCTGTTTCCAGATCTTAGCTATCCTATATAATAAAGAGGTAATATGTAAATTGACTGTCACACCCTCGCACAAATGGCCGTCCCCATGTGGTCAAAGATGGCTGCCCCCCGTGTGGTCACAGTATGGCCACCATAAGATGGCCAGCAGGGGAGGGCATTTGTGAGCGATCAGGCCGGCAGGGGAGGGCAGTTGGGGGCAACCAGGCCTGCAGGGGAGGGCAGTTGGGGCCAATCGGGCCAGTAGGGGAGCAGTTAGGCATCGTTCAGGCTGGCAGGGGAGCAGTTAGGGGTGATCAGGCAGGCAGGCAGGCGAGCGGTTGGGAGCCAGCAGTCCCGAATTGTGAGAGGGAAGTCTGACTGCCAGTTTAGGATCGGGCCTAAATCAGCAGTCGGACATCCCCTGAGGGATCCCAGATTGGAAAGGGTGCAGGCTGGGCTGGGGAACACTCGCGCGCGCGTGGCCCCCCCCCGCCCCCCCGCCCCCACCCCCCCGTGCATGAATTTCGTGCACTGCACTGGGCCTCTAGTCCAATATGATAGAGGTAATATGCAAATTAACCCTCATGCCCTCAGAAGATGGCTGCCTATGACCAGGTCAGCAGGGGTGTTAGTGAGAGATGACCAAATGACTGAACAGCAGGCTGTGTGGGGCGACTAGGCCGGCAGGAGTGTTAGTGAGGGACGACCAAATGACTGAACAGCAGGCTGCATGGGGTGACCAGGCTGGCTGCGGGGGCTGTGATTGGCAACCAGGCTGGCAGGGGGGCAGGGGTGTGTCCAGGTCGGGGGGGGCAGTTAGGGGTGACCAGGCTGGCAGTGGGGTGCAGTTGGGGGTGACCAGACTGGCATGGGGGGCAGTTGGGAGCAATTAAACTGGCAGGGGGGGCAGTGAAGGGCAACTAGGCCAGTGGGGGGGCAGTTGGGAGCAACCAGGCCAGCAGAGGGGGGCAGTTGTGGGCGACCAGGCTGGCAGGGGAATCAGTTAACACATTGTATGCAGGAAACGTATTTATACGTTTTACTTATACGTTTTACATTGACTGGTAGTAGAGCGCAGACATGTATTAATACGTTTTTTATAGACTAGCAGTAGAATGCAGATAATGTATAAATACGTAAACTAAAGTCATCGTAATTTTACTGAACGTTGCCATTTGTGCAAAAAATTAGCAAAAATGGCCCATGCCACCTGTTAGCGCACGATAAAAACTACCCGCAAACAATGTATTAAGGGCAATCAGGCCGGCATGCAGAGGCAGTGAGGGGTGATCAAGCCTGCAGGGGGGAGCCGTTAGGGGCGACCAGGCAGGCAGGCAGGTGAGCGATTAGGAGCCAGCGGTCCAGGATTGAGAGGGATGTCCGATTGGAGAGGGTGCAGGTGGGCTGACGGGACCACTGCCCATCCCGTCACGAATTTCGTGCACCGGGCCTCTAGTCGTAAATAAATGACGCTGTTAAGAGCACAGGGGTGCAAATATTCTTTCTGATTCTTAGGATATATTCCCAGAAGTGGGATTGTTGGCTTCAACAGCAATTCCACTTTTATTTTTCAAGGAAATGCCATATGGTTTCCATAGTGGCTGCACCAGTCTGCGTTCAAACCAAAAAGCTTCTACACAGCAAAATAAACCATCCTCAAAATGCAAAGGGAACCCACCGTATGGGAGAACATACTCCCCAATGATACATCAGAAAAGGGGTTAATTTCCAAAACATAAACTATGCATACAACTCAACAAAAGGAAGATAAACAATCCAATTAAAAAATGGGCAAAGGATCTAGAGGTGGCCAAGAGACATATGAAAAAATGCTCAAAGTCACTGATCATCAGAGAGATGCAAATAAAAATATGCATCAGTTTTATATTCTAATTAAGAAAAATGTGGTTAATTATAGGATATTATCAGCTTTAGGAGTTATCCCAATTTCAGAGATGTTAATATATGAAAAAATGGGTATATTAGAACTTATAAGTGTGGCATTTATAACAATGTCCCCCGAAAAAACGTTGAAAAGGAACATAGTATATAAAAGCCAGACAAATAATTCATTCTAGAATAAATTTTTTTGTAAATGCTGTAGAAAACCATAAAAATACTGAAATGAATAAACTAGATCACTCTAGATGAGATGACAATAGAATGAAATCAAAAGGAGATTGTAAAGGTAATGAAATAAATTAAGCACTAAATATCACTGTTGCAAAATAGCTACTTTAGAAATAATAACAAACAGAATATATGTGGCAAAAAATTAAATTTTGTTAGCTCATAGTGAATGCAGTAAAAGAATAAAGTAATTAGAGAAGTAATATTTATGGGAGACAGAGATGGTTCAACACAAGTATTCTTAATGTTCCACTGATATAGAGAGCTTCCAAAATATAACCAAAATACCATTCTAAATATAAGAGAAAGTTTCTCTGTAAGGAAAACTGTATCTGTAGCATAACATTAGGGTCCAAGAAAATTTGATAAAAGGATGATTAGTAACAATAATTATCCTGATGAAACTATTTGACTTAAACTTTAATAAAGAAGTTTAATGGCCCTGAGACATATGAAAAAATATGCATTCAAACCCAAAAGCTTCTACACATTAAAGTTTAATGGCCCCGGTGTGGTTCAGTTGGTTGAACATCTGGTGCACCAAAATGTTGCCAGTTCGATTCTTGGTCAGGCAGGGCACATGCCCGGGTTGTAGGAGGCAGCCAATCGGTGGTCTCTTTTATATTGATGTTTCTGTCTCTTCCTCTCTTTCCCCTCGCTCTGAAGTCTAATGGCATTCAGGCAGAAAGGGTCTAAAATACAGCCTGGCATTACATTTTTTCACATCTTAGCATTTCTGAGGCAAAGGAAGTGTGATCTGATAATATATCTAGCTAAGATGTCATTTAAATATAAAGGCAATTAAAAAAGAAGTATTCAAGAAATATAGCAGCAATGGGCCATTTTTGAAAGAAAAATAATATTACTTGAAAATAATATCCATCAAATCTCAGAGGAAAGGGGGTGGGTGGCAGAGATCAACCAAAGAATTTGAATACATATGTGCATAACCAGTGGACATAGACAATAGGGTGCTAAAGGCCTGGGGTGGGGGCAGGAGTGGGCTAGAAGGGGTCAATGGGGGGGGGGGAAGGCAGCATATGTAATACTTTCAACAATAAAGATTTAATTAAAAAGTAAAATCCATCAAACCAAAAAAATGAAAAGAGGAAGCTGCAGTATAATGACTAGTGCAGTACTGAATGCTAGGAGACATTATGAAATTGTAGTTCACAGGGGAAGAAACATAAACTGAAATGTTATGCCAGCAAAATTTCCTTTTAAGTATGCAAGAAAACACTAATTTATTAAATTTGAAAGAAATCAAGGGATACTGAGCACATAAAAGCACTTCATGCACAAAAAACTAGCAGTGAAATTTAGACACCTAAATAGTGAAGCGACTTTAAGAATTCAGGAATGTATAAACTTCAGGAAGAAGAAGCCTTGAATCCATTTAAATATGGACCTAAAATCAAACAACTGTGGAAATTATGCTTGTACTGTAACAGATAGAAGTCACAAACTCTGACACAGTAAAAAGAATAATAATAAAAAAAAATTCAAGAGGAAGGAGGTATCATTTCCTCATCCTTAAGTTTGAAGCTTATGGTTATAAAACAACATTAGGACACAAAGAAATCCATTTGAAAAATGAAAACTTTTTTCTCTTTCCATTTCTCAGAATATTGAATGTTTTGGAAGTAATAGCTCCCTTCAAGCACTTTAACAAGCTTAGAGAATTTGTTCAAATGAAGCTTCCTCCAGGCTTTCCTGTAAAACTAGGTAAGAGAAAAATTGCTTATAATTTCCATGTCTATTAGAAATATGGTATTGTTTACTAACATTTAGTAAAAATATGATTTGAAGGAAAATGGATTTCTAAGTTTTGCTAAAAAATTTTAAAGTTTTTCTGTAATTAAATGCTTTGATATTCATCCTTTGTCAAATATATAAAGTGCCTGATTATAGTTTTAATTCTACTAGATTTCTTTCTTTTCTTTTTAAAAAAGAATATATTTTTCTTGATTTCAGAGAGAAAGGGAAAGCGAGAGAGAGAGCTAGAAACATCAGTGATGAGAGAGAATCATGGATTGGCTGCCTCCTGCGTGCCCCACACTGGGATTCAAGTCTGCAACTGGTTATGTACTTTGATCGGGAATTGAATCCTGACCTCCTGATTCGTAGGTTGTTGCTCAGTCACTAAGTCATGCTGGTTGGGCCTAATTCTACTTTATTTAAATTAAATGTATGGGATATGCAAATACTTCATACAAGAGGGTGTGGGTGAACTTCTGATGCACTGTGATAATGAGTTTCTGAACAGTGGGAATGTTTCTGGAGTCACTATTTACAGATAAAGTAATAATCATACATTCTATTTTCAAATATTTTTTTGGTAATCCTCACCCAAGGATATTTTTCCATTGATTATTTCTAGAGAGAATGGAAGGGAGGGGGAAGACAGAGAGAAACATCTATGTGAGAGAGACATCGATTGGTTGCTTCCAGCACATGCCCTGACCAGGTCAGGGATGGAGCCTGCAACTGAGGCATGTGCTCTTTACCGAAATCAAACCCAGAACCCTTCAGTCCATGGGCTGATGCTCTATCCACTGAGCCAAACCGGCTAGGGTTATTTTCTTTCTTTTTTTTTTTTTTCTGAAAACAAGTTTTATTTAAATAAGGGTTTAAATACATAACATAACATTAAAACTGAAGGAGGGAAAAAAGAACACCCCAAAAATCTTTTTTTTTTTTTTTTTTTTTTTACTTCACATGGCATTGGGCAGCTGTTGCTAGGAAGTTGCAAGCTCTATAGCAGTGATTCCCAAAGTGGGCGCTACCGCCCCCTGGTGGGCGCTGCAGTGATCCAGGGGGGCTGTGATGGCCACAGGTGCATTTGTTTTAACTTTTTTTGTGTTACCTTTCTATTCTGAGTTCAATAAATAGTTTCATAATTTCAAACTTCAATGTTTCTAATTTATACCTTTCTTTACTATATTTTACGAAAAAGGTAGAAACTTTAATACATATATCTTTCTGTTTAATTGCTATTAAAATTTAAAACAAATTAATTTCCAGGGGGCGCTGAGTAATATTTTTTCTGGAAAGGGGGCGGTAGGCCAAATAAGTTTGGTTACCACTGCTCTATAGCTAGCTACATGACTGACACTTCAGTTTGAAATTTGTTCCCTTGTCAAAAGTTTAACTCTGATAAGAAGGTTGGCCTCAAATTACGGTGTTTGGACAACAATTAGCTAGGATCTGTCTGGTCAAAAAGACCTTAGTGGCAAGCCAGAAGTCCTTACACCTCACTGGAGGGAAGGTGGCAGGCTGCTTGCTCGAAGCTCCATCACTGGGTCAGGTGTAGATCTGTGATTACGGAAAGCTCCCTCTAGTGGTACACATGCCGCTGGTGCCTTACCCCTCTCCTCTCAGCTTCACTGAAGGCTGCTCAGGCGGTGGTGACATTCTCTGAGGGCAGGGGACTCTGGTGAGGAGCTTTGGCCAGACATGGGCTTGGCTGAAACATCATGATATTGCTCCGTTTCAGGCTGGGCATTGCCAGGCGCCTACTGCTTGACCTCTGTTTAAATGAGGAACTTCAAGACTATACAGCATGGCTCTTTTCAGTTTATTGCATGAAGGAGTTACACTAGTCCAAGTTAAAAACAGACCCCAAATGGTTACATTATACAAGCTGTGAGGTTTTTAAACTTGTGACAAGGGACAGAAGGGAAATTCTACTAATTGCAAAGAAACCCTCACTTAAGCTTCTGTGAGCCAAAAGCACTTAAAACCCATGAACCTTCAGCTGGTCGTCCCTAGCCAGTCCAATCTCGACGAGTCCCTGGCATATGTTCTTGCGCTGGTCACCCTGCAGCTGAATTACTTCTCCATATTCTGGATGCTCAATTACAGTACCATTGCAGGCAAATTTCTTCTTAAAGGCCTTCACTAGTTTCTTTTTATCGTAATCATCAGTGATCCCTTGGACAGTACTAAGGGTCTTCCTGCCGTTTCTCTGTTGAATTCTTATATGGATATAATCCTCAGTGCCAGCAGGAAGCAGGTCATCACCTTTACTTCCATCAGCAAAGGGGTCGAAAGAGTGGAGGTTCTGGATAGCGGACATACAATCCGATTCCTTTTCCTCGGTGGAAACGGCCTGTGGAAGGCTGCAGCGGGAGAAGGCGGGCAGGGGGGACGGAGTTTCGGGAAGCGAGGGGGGCTTAAGGGGGAGGTTGCTGAGTCCTCGGCAGTGGCTCAGTCACTGGGCTCTTTTTTTTTTAAAGGGGAGAATGATGATTTTTATTTTTTTAAAATATATTTTATTGATTTTTTGCAGAGAGGAAGGGAGAGGGATAGAGAGTTAGAAACATCGATGAGAGAGAAACATCGATCAGCTGCCTCCTGCACATCTCCTACTGGGGATGTGCCCGCAACCAAGGTACATGCCCTTGACCGGAATCGAACCTGGGACCCTTGAATCCACAGGCCAACGCTCTATCCACTGAGCCAAACCGGTTAGGGCTGGCTAGGGTTATTTTCAAATATTTAAACTTAATTTTATCATCATGATCTTTAACAATAGTAAAATCTCATATTTAACTTCTTAACTATATCAGAAAACTGGAAACGAGATTTAGAAGTTTCTTTTGGAGTTTAGGCTTGGATTTAGCATAAATTTAAGCTTCAGGAGAAGTTTAACTCTCTTCTCTACTGACTTTCGGCTTTGTTCAGGAGAGTCTTCAGTACATCCATCAATTCAGACATCAAATGTTTAACCAGTGCTTGTTACTTGCCAGATGCTTTTCTAGGGTGAGAGTTAGTAAAAGTCCCTGCCCTCTAAGTGTTTACATTCTAGTGAGGGAGAAAAATAAACATATAGTGAATATAACCTTGATATAATTCCTCAGATCTATTTTATCTTGCTTCGATCAATATTACTAAAACCACACTTTACTGTGCTTATTGATATTCATATTATTACTAGAGTCCCGGAGCACGAAATTCGTGCACGGTGGGGGCGGGGTGTCCCTCAGCCCAGCCTGCACCCTCTCTAATCTGGGACTCGACGGGGGATGTCCCACAGGGATCGGGCCTAAACCGGCAGTGGGACATCCCTCTCACAATCCAGGACTGCTGACCCCTAACCACTCACCTGCCTGCCTGCCTGCCTGATTGCCCCTAACCGCTTCTGCCTGCCAGCCTGATCACCCCCTAACCACTCCTCTGCAGGCCCAGTCACCCCCAACTGCCCTCCCCTGCAGGCCTGATCTTGCCCCCAACTGCCCTCCCCTGCAGGACTGGTTGCCCCCAACTGCCCTTCCCTGCAAGCCATATTGTGACGATGTGAGGGTGGCCATCTTGTGGTGATGTGTTTGAATTTCATGTAATTTTATAGACACAAATATTTTTACTTTCTGGTGTTTCTTTTAACCATTTAAAAATAGAAAATCATTTTTTAGCTCACAAGCCTCACAAAAAGAGGCCAGGCAATGGGCTTTACTTTGCTGATACCTGGAATTAGATAGAATAGCATCTGCACATAATAGGCACAAATGAATGATTTTCCCTCCCAGAAATAACTGGAAACTGTGTAATCCTTATGTTGATTTCTTTGTGTAATCTTTATGTTAATTATGTTTAAGTTTTTTGTTTGTTTGTTTTGTTAATCCTCACCCAAGGATATTTTTTCCCATTGCTTTTTAGAGAGTAGGAAGGGAGAGAGACAGAGACATCAGTTTGAGAGAGACACATCGATTGGTAGTCTCCCTCAGATGCCCTGACCAGGGCCTGGGATCTAACCTGCAACCCAGGTACATGCCCTTGACTGGGAATTGGACCCACAACCCTTCAATCTGTGAGCCAACAGTTGCTAACCTCTGAGTAACATTGGCTAGGGCTCATGTATTTTATTTTAGAATGAAAATAAATTAGCTCAGAGTCTGAATAATATATATACTATAATTTGAAGAAAAGTTATCACATTGCAAAAATTACAAATATAGCTAGCTGTCCCTTTGCCTGAAGGAAAATAAAAAGACTGGTGGAATCTGGCATTATATGTTAGATTGGAAAGCAATTGAAATGAGTTTTTTGATGCTTCCATGTCTTTCTCTTCTTACTGTTAGAAATAAGGCGAGCCCCAAAATCAGGGCTCCTGGTAAAACACAAAGCACACTCGGGAGTCAGGCAGCAAGGCAGATATCTTCACTCCTGCAGGAGGGTGCGCATTCACATGGTCTGGGAGCGCATGCACACTGGGTGGCGGTCTGCTCAGGCTCTCATGCCTGGCGCACGCCATCTGTTCCTCACTCTTGGTTGGAAGAGCTTAGGCTCACACTCTTGCGCGATTGGCTAATTTAAACAAAGAGGTTGACCTTTGCTGTTTCAAAATGGCAGCCCCTCATGGGAGCCAAAATGGCAGCCGCCAAAACTCTCTTCTTTGACAGAAAAGATTGTTTATTCTCACATAACCAATAACTAAGTCCTTCCTCCAAGCATCATACTCAGTAATAAACATATATTAGGTAGGATTGGTCTGGTGCTTGAATAATGTGTCTTTTTTTAATTTAAGGAGTATGGATGTCTCTAATAGTATTTTTAGTCTACTAGAGGCCCGGTGCATGAATTCGTGCACGGTTGGGGTCCCTCGGCCTGGCCGGCGATTGGGTCCGATCAGGGCCATCTCGCCCATTCTGGGGGTTGAGGAAGGACTGCGGGAGGTTGGCTGACCAACCTGGGGAGGGACCGCGAGAGGTTGGCTGACCAACCTGGGGAGGGACTGCGAGAGGTTGGCTGGCCAACCATGGGGAGGGACTGTGGGAGGTTGGCTGGCCAGCCTGGGGAGGGACCGCGGGAGGTTGGCTGGCCAACCATGGGGAGGGACTGCGGGAGGTTGGCTGACCAACCTGGGGAGGGACCGCGAGAGGTTGGCTGACCAACCTGGGGAGGGACCGCGAGAGGTTGGCTGGCCAACCATGGGGAGGGACCGCGGGAGGTTGGCTGGCCAGCCATGGGGAGGGACTGCAGAGGTTGGCTGGCTGGCAGCAGGAGGTTGGCTGTGGGAGTGCACTGACCACCAGGAGCAGCTCCTGCGTTGAGCGTCTGCCTCCTGGTGGTCAGTGCATGTCATAGTGACCAGTCGTAACAGTCACTTAGGCTCTTATATATATGGATAAGTAGATTAACATTTCATTTTACAGTATTATCATTGATTATTCTCTCTAGATATACCTGTGTTTCCTACGATCACAGCCACTGTGACTTTTCAGGAATTCAGATATGATGAGTTTGACGGCTCCATCTTTACTATACCTGACGACTACAAGGAAGACCCAAGCCGTTTTCCTGATCTCTAATGACACGAGCATGACGCCATCTCACCAAGGAAAGCAAGAGCGTGCAGAGACCCCACAGGGAGGCGAAGTAGGAGGGACAGATGCTTTCAGTGAAGAAAAGGGAATTTCATAGAACTGACACATCAGTGATATGACATAATGAAATGGGCCTCTAATAAGTTTCCTGATGTGCCATTTTCAGTCTTTTTAAATATATACATATTATAGTGTAATAGTTTGACACCTTAATGACCCTAAGTACTTCTTATGTAAAACAGCTATGAGTGCTGTGATTTGTTTTTAAAAATTTTTACACTTCTTGTTGAAATATATATGCATATATATCTATATCTATATATATAGTTATATCTAAAACACTCCTGGACCAGTAACATAAATTAAATGTCTTAAGAGATATGAAGCCCTTTACAGTTGTCATCTTATATTCACACACTGACCACCAGGAGACAAACGCTGAACGCAGGAGCTGCTCCTAGTGGTCAGTGCTCTCCCACAGCCAACCTCCTACGGCCGACCAAGGTGACATTTATAAATATTCCTTCCAACTTTGTTTTCATAAAATGTAAACTATGTAACTTTATGTATAGTTCAGTAATTTGAATGTTTGTTCAATATGATGAACTAGAAAGGAATGCAGTTTTCTGTAGATGAATGAACCAAATGGTAACCATTAAACAATTGCATTTATATGTTGCAATACATTTCAGAAGGAGCATTCACTCTGCAGGGAATAAGGTACCTCCTTTAGCACCTTAGTGCAATTCATTGTGGTGCTATTTGTTTTTACCTGAATTCTTTCTTCAATGGTAAATGTTTGTTACTAATCTTCCTTTCATAGAACCTCTATTTTTTTTTTCTAAACTTGAGTTTTAAAGCCTTTTTTGTGTTCATAATAGGATATGACTAGCATGTTTAAGGATAGTCCTCTTCCAAATCTCAGCACTTTAAAAATATTCCAAAATTTTAAACTTGCTTCCTAATAACTGCACATCATTCTGATTATTTTGTTTGTTTTTAGTGTTCATGTCAGTTTTAAACAACTCACATTTTGGATTCCCTACATATTTAATGCTTTCAGAGTAAGGTAAAAACATTTTATATGCTAACAGAATATATTTGTTATAAGTTAAATTCCAAAAATGTACACAAGATTGATAATTCCTACTGTTTATTTTTTTAAGTCACAAGAAAATATTTATTGGTTTTAATTATCTTCAAAGTGTTAAAAAATCATGCATTACTCATTTTCGCACTTAAAATTTTTCATGTTTATTCCAAGATGGTTTGATGGTCCAAGAATGAAAATAAATTAGGGAGAATAAGGTATGAGACATAATATGTTACGTTGTATTTAAGAAATTAGCTAAAGAAATGCTTTTTAAATGTATCCTGATGAATGTGTGAGAATGCATTTGTCAGGTTTTTTAGAGTGACCCGTAATTTAAACATTTTCAAGAATTTTAATTAAGCTGAATGAGTTTAGAAACCTTTATTGAAAAGATGATTATTTACAAATCCAAAGCATCAATCATAAGAAAATTTTTATAATAAACATCTTTAAAGCTGCATCTTTCATGCTGATAACATAATTGCATATGTTGACATTTTATTAAATACATTTTATAATAAAGAAAAATAATCATAGTTAAAAATTCAAAGGCCATTTACTACCTGGTGTGGGTCTGTTGAATTTTGTGAGAAGAGTTGGAAACCCAGACTAGGTTTATTAAATACAAGTTGATCCCAATTATTTTGGGAATCCTTATAGATCAAGTGACTTAGAAATTGAATTATCTTGTCAGTAATTATGTGAGGTTTGAGACACTGAATGGTAGTTATCACTGTTGCTTTTAGGCTCCCTTACTCTTTGGGAATATGTTATATTTTCAGGATTATACTATAGATTTTTCACAAGTACAGACAATTTAGTGGGGGGAAAAACATGGAAAATTGCAACTTGGAACTTAACAATTTCCTAAAAGCTGTGAATATTTTGCTGGGGTACACTGGAGGTAGGAAGACTACTGAAAACTTTTGCACTTGGGTTTTGTTTTTAACTCTTAACTTTTTCTTTCATAAAGGATAGTAGAAAGAGATGATCCATTCCAAATGTCTTTTATTTGATCATAAAGGACAAGCAAATGTCAGTATCTCTTATAATGGTGAAAACAAGGAGTTATTAATGCAAATAAACTTTTCACATTAAACTTTTCAAAATGTGCCTTTTAATCCAGTTAATGAATGAAGCGATATTCTGTGTTTCAAGTAACTAAATCAAAACACCATATACTATATAATAAAGAGGTAATATGCAATTTGACCCCCACACCATAACACCATCACAAGATGGCGGTGCGCACAGCGGGGGTGGAACCGACTGCTCCGCGCACCGGCCACCACAATTCCTGCGGCCCCTTGTGGGGGCGGGTTCCCGCTGCTGCTCTGCATGGCTTCCACTGGGGTGACCAGGCCAGCACAGGAGGGCAGTTAGGGGTGAGATCAGGCCGGCAGGGGAGGGCAGTTGGGGGCGATTGGGCTGGCAGGGAAGGACAGTTGGGGGCAATCAGGCTGGCAGGGAAGGACAGTTGGGGGCGATCAGGCTGGCAGGGAGCAGTTAGGCATCAGGCCAGCAGGGGAGCAGTTAGGGGGTGATCAGGCTGGCAGGCCATCAAGCAGTTAGGAGCCAGCAGTCCCGGATTGTGAGAGGGATGTCAGAGGGATCCCAGATTGGAGAGGGTGCAGGCTGGGCTGAGGGACACCCCGCCCCCCCCCCCCCCGCCACCATCCCAGTGCATGAATTTTGTGCACCAGGCCTCTAGTATTTTAATCCCACATGAAAATCTAGATTTTGTAGTGTAGGTCCATAAAATTCTATGTCTTCTATTTGTGATTGAAGAAAATTAAAACTTGGGGGCCTATGAAATAGTCACCTTAAATGGCTATTTTGAAGAGTTCAATATTTCTGCCAACAGTGTGGCATCAAAAGAAGGTCAGATTCTTGTCTTAAAATAATTTTTGAGAGAGAATTTGCTTCATAGAGAATTGTCAGATTTCATAAAAAGGAAGCATAGAGCAGATGCTCTGATTATTGTGAACCTAGGAACATATGGTCTGGAAATTAACACATTTCAGAGAAGCGAATAGCTGACGGAAGCTGAAAAACAATTTTGTTTCTGCTTTGAATTGGTATTGAGCCCCACTCACACTAATAGAAATGAGTTTTTATATTGTTATTCATGGACAGTTTATAATTCACACCTTGTGAGAGAGTAGTGAATAATGATCTTTAGTGACCCCTTCTTATTTTTTACTAAGTCTACAGAATTGATCCTGTTTCAAGGGGACAAAAAAGGTCTGGACTAAACGCTTTCATATTGACTTAAGGATTGCTTCCTTTTGCTCATTTATGTTCCTTTTATTTGCAAATAGCATGAGTAAGAAAGTTACAGTAGAACACTAGGTGAATTTGAAGTCCTGCCTTTATTTTTATTTATTTTTGAAGTCCTGCCTTTAAAATTGAGTGAGAGAATTATTAATTAGTATGGAACACATTATGCCTCTGCTGTTAACTCCAGCAAGAGGAATCTTAACCATGTTTTCTAAAATTAAGAAAATGCATCCTTACCAAAGTTTTTATATTTGGAAACTGTAAACTTTCAAAGACAACTGACAGTAAAACTTGCCCAAGAGACAAAAGGACAGAGGAGATATGACACTACTTGTAAAGTGCAAAGTTAATACTTTTACAAAGCATTTTATGTCAGAAATCTGGGGCAGTAGTGTTTTAGATTGTCATCTAAAAATGTCACCTCAAGTATTTTGGCAATTTTAGGTCATGTGACCCTCTACAGTACTATCTAATGAAGAACTTCTAAAATTATTTTAGTATAGTACTTTTAGTCATAATGGCACCAATGATACAGTTACAATTTCACTTTTGCCACAGCACCTGCAAATACATAAGCAAAATCTAAGGATTTTAAAGAAAGGTACTTGGAAAGCATTCCTGAATTTAATCGTTTTGCAGATGACAATAACTTGCCTAAAGTAAAAAACTTTGTGTAATAAAAAACAGAAAAACCCCACCGCTTACTTACCTGTACCTCCCATAGCATTCTTGATCACTAAAGGTGGCTGACAATGACTGGCTGGGATGCTCTAATGAAAATGGGTGGTGTAGGAGTTTTGGAAAGCAGAAGTGAAGCAGAAATTTTGTAGCTTCCATGCTGGCCCCTTTGGGATGAGGTAAGAGCAAGGCCTGCAGTGACTTCACCTTCTCTTCCTTCAGCTTCTCAGACTTATGGGCCAGATATGCGAGTTTAGCTTCATGATGCAGAATCCTGGCTTCTGCCATGCCACCCAGGTGAGAAGCAATGAGACCTGAGTTCTAGCCCATCCTTGTGGATTCCAGCTTGTGCTTGTGGTTCTAACTTACTCTTCCCTCTATCCATCTTCCCTTCTCAACTGCCTGCAGGCTTCAACCTCCAGCATCATATAAAGCCCATAAATAGATTTGAAACTGGTTAACCAGCTCCCATAATTAAGGTCAAATCCCTGTAACAAACCTTTTTTTTTTTTTCATAACATGCAACGATGTCTTTTATTATGTATGGGTTTTAGAAATTATTTCCTGGATCACTCCGTACACAGGCAAAAATAAAATGTACTGTTTAGCATATTAGAACTTGCAAAACTGGTCATTGCCAACAGCAAGGAAAATTATCCCTAAAACATGCTTAACCAGGAGGTCAATTCATCTGCCAACCTCCAAGAACATGAAGATGAACATGATAGACAGACTGCTCCGCATCTGTGCCTTCATTCACTACCGTGTGGTAACCCTTCTTTAGGCCCAGATCAGCAGCACATTTCTTGCCAATAATCATTAAATGTCCAAGAAGATTTTCATCATCATCTTCTGCTACAGAAATCTGGGATATATGCTTCTTAGGTATCACCAGAAAATGTGTTGGTGCTTGAGGGGAAATGTCTTGGAAAGCAAGACACTGGTCGTCCTCAGAAATGATTTTGGCGGGGATTTCCTTGCCAATGATCTGCCCGAAGATCGTGTCGCCACCAGGCCGAGTGGCCTGACCGCAAGGCTACTGGGGGGTGCAGCCCGAGTGGAGGCTGTAACAAACCTTTTTCTCTTTTGAATGCTGACTGGTAAAAAAAAGTTAAATCTACATGCTTGTCTTCTAAAACAATTTAAGTAAGCAAATCTTAACTTCATTTTTGTGACCATTAACCTTCAATTCCTTATGCAAAAATCATACTTTATTTATTTATTTAAATGTTGCAGTTTTAAAAAATATATATATTTTATTGATTTTTTTATAGAGAGGAAGGGAGAAGGATAGAGAGTTAGAAACATTGATGAGAGAGAAGCATCAATCAGCTGCCTCCTGCACACCCCCTACTGGAGATGTGCCTGCAACCAAGGTACATGCCCTTGACTGGAATCGAACCTGGGACCCTTCAGTCCCCAGGCCGACGTTCTAGCCACTGAGCCAAACTGGCTAGGGCCATCATACTTTATTTAACTAACTAGCTTTTTTAAAAAAATACATCATGTAACTAATTTTAGTATCACTAATTTAGTGACTGTGCACTGGAAAAATGACTTTTACAAAGTGATATTTTGAAAAGAATGAGAACATGTCACTTCCCCAATTATTTTTTTTTGTATAAGAGAACATTTATTTGGTAAATCACAGGTAGAAAAATTTCTAGAAGTGGACTTAGGAAAGAAGTTACAGAGGTAAAGGAAGGGCCCATGGAACTTGGAGTGAGGCAGCTAATGGTAAAGTGTGTGGGTCAGGGAAGAGGAAGATGGGAAAGGCATGGGCAAGCTGCGGGAAGGAAAGCACCTTTCCCAATTATTTTTGTAAGGACATTATTTGAAAAACTAGAGGCCCGGTGCACAAAAATTTGTGCACTCGGGGGAGTCCCTCAGCCTGGCCTATGCCCTCTTGCAGCCTGGGACCCCTCGGGGGATGTCCACCTGCTGGATTAGGCCTGCTCCCCAGGGGAATTGGGCCTAAGTTGGCAGTCAGGCATCCCTCTGGAAGCCCGGGAGCCCTCGGGGGATGTCCACTAGCTAGCGGGGAGCAGGCTTAGCTGCAGTCGGACATCCTTAGTGCTGCTGAAGAGGCTGGAGAGGCTCCCGCCGCCACTGCTGTGCTGGCAGCCGTCACCCTCTTGTGGCTGAGCAGAGCTCCACCTTTGGGAGCGCATTGACCACCAGGGGGCAGGTCCTGCATTGAGCGTCTGCCCCCTGGTGGTCAGTGTGTGTCAGTGACCAGTCATTCCCAGTCATTCTGCTGTTAGGGTCAATTTGCATATTACCCTTTTATTATATAGGATAGAGGCCTGGTGCACGGGTGGGGGCCAGCTGGTTTGACCTGAAAGGTGTCCTGGATCAGGGTGGGGATCCCCACTGGGGTGCTTGGCCAGTCTAGGTGAGGGGCTGATGGCTGTTTTCAGGCTGGCTAAGTCCCCAGGCGACCAAAGCTCCCAGCCTCTCCTTTTTTTAAATTTTTTTATTCTGGGATTTATTTATCTTCTATAATTGAAATGTTGTAGCCTTGAGTGGAGCCCATTTCCTGCCAGGGCAGGCGGGAAGCTTGGCTTCCTCCATTGCCGTGGGCAACCCAATCCTTTTGCTCGCTCCAGCTCCGTGGCCACGGCAGCTGGAAGCAGGTAACTGGGATTTATTTATCTTCTATAACTGAAACTTTGTAGCCTTGAGCAGAGCTCAGGGCCAGCAAGGCAGGCGGGAAGCTTGGCTTCCTCCATTGCCTCCAAACCTCCTGCTTGCTCCAGCTCCATGGCTGCCACCATCTTAGTTGGGTTAAATTGCATATTTGCTCCTGATTGGCTGGTGGGCGTGGCTGGTGGGCATGGCTTGTGGGTGTAGCAGAGGTATGGTCAATTTGCATGTTTCTCTTTTATTAGATTAGAGGCCTGTTGCACGAAGAGATTTGTGCAATAGGCCTTCCCTTGGCTGCTGGCACCAGTTTTCCTCCCGCACCCGGGACCCAGGCCTTCGCTCTGGCTGGGCTCTGGCAGAAGCTGCCCCGGAGCCATCAGGCTTCGCTACTCGGCAGGCCCCGGGGCCCTGTGGCCTTGCTGCTCCGCCTGGCGCCGGGGCCATGATGCCTCACTGCTCCACCAGCCCCAGGGCCATGTGGCCTCACTGCTCCGCAGATCCTGGGGCCGTGAGGCCTCGCTGCTCTGCCGATCCCAGGGCCGGGAGGCCTCGCTGCTCCGCCTAGCGCCAGGGTGTGAGGCCTCACTGCTCTGGCCCCGGGCTGTCAGACTTCGCTCCACCGCTTGGAACCTACTATGCAAATTAACCTCCATCTTTGTTGGCGGTTAATTTGCATATCGCGGTGATTAGCCAATGGGAGGCGTAGCAAAGATACGGTCAAATACCATGTTTGTCTATTATTAGGTAAGACTAGTGGCCGGTGCACGAAATTCATGAATGGAGGGATGGGTTCCCTCAGCCCATCCTGCATCCTCTCTAATTGGGTCCCCTTGGGGGATGTCCGACTGCCGGCAGAGGGATCAGGCCTAAACCGGCAGTCGGACATCCCTCTTGCAATCTGGGACCACTGGCTCCTAACTGCCTCTGCCTGCCTGCCTGATTGCTCCAACCCCTCTGCCTGCCTGATCGCGCCTAACCTCTCTGCCTGCCTGCTTGATCACCCCTAACTGCCCTCTCCTGCCGGCCTGATCTCGCCTCCAACTGCCCTTCCCTGCCAACCTGGTTGCCCCCAACTGCCCTCCCCTGCTCGCCTGATCTCGCCCCCAACTGCCCTTCCCTGCAGGCCAATTTAGTTCTGATTGGTCGGTTTCTATGCCAGTCAGTGTCAAGCTCCGCCTCCTAGGCAGCCATTGGCTCCTCACAGCACCCAGATTTGGTTCTGATTGGTTGTTCATATGTCAATGTCAAAAGCTCCACCTCCTAGGCAACCATTTACTCCTCATAGCACCCAGATTCTGTTCTGATTGGTTGGTTCCTATGCCAGTCAGCATCTCTAGGCTTATCAACAGGGCCTGATCAGAAAGGCAGGGCTGATCAGCAGCCCGGGTAGAGGCCTGGAGAGAAATGGAGGCATGTGGGAAACTGCCTATAGTCTTCACTAGCAGTGAGGTATGGACAGAGAACCTGGAAGGCTGGTGACCCTTGAAGCCCTAGCAAAGGTCAAAGCTGTGCACCCACTGTTAGTCCAGACAATGGTAGCTGAAGCAACTTCCCCACCAGATAGTCATGTAAATCCTTTTTTTTTTTAATCGTTAAATTCTTTATTAGTTAAGGAATTACAAATATGTCCTCATTCACGCCCATTAACCCCCATCCTCCTCCCCTCCCACTCATGCCTCTCATCCTCCTGTTGTCCATGTCCATTGGTTTGGCTTATATGCATGCATACAAGTCCTTGGTTGACCTCTTCCCCTTACCCCCACCATCCCCTACTTTGCCTCTGGGGATTAATAGTCTGATTGCTGTTTCTCTGTCTTTGGATCTGTCCCTGGTCATCAGTCTATGTTGTTCTCTATATTCTACAAATGAGTGAGATCATATGGTACTTATCTTTCTCTGACTGGCTTATTTCACTTAGCATAATGCTCTCCAGTTCCATCCAAGCTGTTGCAAAAGACAAGAGTTCTTTCTTTTTTACCGCAGTGTAGTATTCCATTGTGTAGATGTACCACAGTTTTTTAACACATTGTATGCGGGAAACGTATTTATATGTTTTATGTATTTATACCTCTTACCAGTGTAGTAGAGAGCGGGACACGTATTAACACATTGTTTGCGGGTAGTTTTTATCGTGTGCTAACAGGTGGCGCAGGCCATTTTTGCTAATTTTTTGCACAAATGGCAACGTTCAGTAAAATTACAATAACTTTAGTTTACGTATTTATACGTTACCCGCATTCTACCACTAGTCTATAAAAAACGTATTAACAAATTGTATACAGGAAACGTATTTATATGTTTTACTTATACGTTTTACATTGACTGGTAGTAGAGTGCAGGACACGTTATTAATACATAAACTAAAGTTATCGTAATTTTACTGAACGTTGCCATTTGCGCAAAAAATTAGCAAAAATGGCCCGCACCACCTGTTAGCGCGCGATAAAAACTACCTGCAAACAATGTGTTAATCCACTCATCTGCTGATGGGCACTTAGGCTGTTTCCAAATCTTAGCTATGGTGAATTGTGCTGCTATGAACATAGGGGTGCATATATTCATTCTGATTGGTGTTTCTGGCTTCTTAGGATATATTCCTAGAAGTGGGATCACTGGGTCAAATGGGAGTTCCATTTTTAGTTTTTTGAGGTAGCTCCATACTGTTCTCCACAGTGGCTGCACCAGTCTGCATTCCAACCAGCAGTGCAGAAGGGTTCCTTTTTCTCCACATCCTCTCCAACACTTGTTGTTTGTTGATTTGTTGATGATAGCCATTCTGACAGGTGTGAGGTGATACTGCATTGTCGTTTTGATTTGCATCTCTCGTATAATTAGTGACTTTGAGCGTGTTTTCATATGTCTTTCGGCCTTCTGTATGTCCTCTTTCAAAAAGTGTCTATCTAGGTCCGTTGCCCATTTTTTTGATTGGATTGTTTATCTTCCTATTATTAACTTTCATGAGTTCCTTGTAAATTTTGGAGATTAATCTCTTATAGGTGATATCATTGGAAAATATGTTCTCTCATGCAGTGGGTCTTCTTGTTGTTTTGTTGATGGTTTCCTTTGCTGTGCAAAAGCTTTTTATTTTAATGTAGTCCCATTTGTTTATTTTCTTTTTAGTTTCCATTGCCCTAGGAGCATTATCAGAGAAGAAATTCCTTCGACATATGTTTGCTATTTCACTTCCTGTGGATTCCTCTAGTATTTTTATGGTTTCCCGTCTTAAGTTTAAGTCTTTTATCCATTTTGAGTTTATTTTTGTGTATGGTGTGAGTTGGTGGACTAGTTTCATCTTTTTGCATGTATCTGTCCAATTTTCCCAACACCATTTATTGAAGAGACTGTCTTGCCGCCATTGTATGCTTTTGCCTCCTTTGTTGAATATTAATTGGGCATAGTGCTTTGGGTCAATTTCTGGGTTCTCTATTCTTTTCCATTGATCTATATGTCTGTTCTTGTGCCAGTACCAAGCTGTTTTAAGAACAGTGGCTTTGTAATACAGTTTGATATCTGGTATTGAGATCCCACCTACTTTGTTCTTTTTTCTCAGGATTGCTGCAGCTATTCGAGGTCTTTTTTTATTCCAGATGAATTTTTGGAACATTCGTTCTAGATCTGTGAAATATGCCATTGGTAATTTAATGGGGATTGCATTGAATCTATAGATTTCTTTGGGTAGTATGGACATTTTGATGATGTTGATTCTACCAATCCATGAACACGGTATGTTCTTCAATCTGTTTATGTCTTCCTCTATCTCTTTTTTCAGTGTCCTGTAGTTTTTCGCATATAAGTCTTTTACCTCTTTAGTTAAGTTTACTCATAGGTATCTTAATTTTTTTGGTGCGATGGTAAATGGGATTGCTTTTTTAGTCTCCCTTTCTGTAAGTTCACTATTGGTGTAAAGAAATGCCTTAGATTTCTTGGCATTAATTTTGTATCCTGCTACATTGCCGAATTCATTTATTAACTCTAATAATTTTTTGATGGAGTCTTTAGGGTTTTCTATGTACAGTATTATGTCATCTGCAAATAAGGACAGTTTTACTTCTTCTTTTCCAACTTGGATGCCTTTTATTTCTTCTTCTTGTCTGATTGCAACGGCTAGTACTTCCAGTACTATGTTGAACAGGAGTGGTGAGAGGGGGCATCCCTGTCTTGTTCCTGTTTTTAGGGGAAATGGTTTTAGTTTTTGCCCATTGATTATGATGTTGGCTGTGGGTTTGTCATATATGGCTTTTATTATGTTGAGGTATGATCCTTCTATTCCTACCTTGCTGAGAGTTTTTATCAAGAAAGGGTGTTGAATTTTGTCGAAAGCTTTTTCTGCATCAATTGATATGACTATGTGGTTTTTATCTCTCAATTTGTTTATGTGATGAATCACGTTTATTGATTTGAGGATATTGTACCATCCTGGCATCCCTGGGATGAACCCTACTTGGTCATGATGTATGATCTTTCTGATGTATTGCTGGATCCGATTTGCTAGAATTTTGTTGAGTATTTTGGCGTCTATGTTCATGAGGGATATTGGCCTATAATTCTCTTTCATTATGTTCTCTCTATGGTATTGGTATTAGGGTGATGCTGGCTTCATAGAATGAGCTGGGAAGTGTTCCTTCTTCTTGAATTTTTTGGAATAGTCTGAGGAGTATATGTTTTAGTTCTTCCTTGAATGTTTGGTAAAACTCCCCTGTGAAGCCGTCTGGCCCCGGGCTTTTGTTTGCTGAGAGCTTTTTGATGACTGCTTCACTTTCTTCCATCATTGTTGGCCTGTTGAGATTTTTAGAATCCTCTGGATTGAGTTTTGGAAGATTGTATTTTTCTAGGAATATGTCCATTTCCTCCAGGTTGTCTAGTTTGTTAGAATAGAGTTGTTCATAGTATTTTTTAAGAATTCTTTGAATTTCTGAGGGGTCTGTTGTTATTTTGCCTCTTTCATTTCTGATTTTGTTTATTTGAGTCCTCTCTCTTTGCTTCTTGGTGAGCCTGGCTAGAAGTTTGTCAATCTTGTTTATCCTTTCAAAGAACCAGCTTTTGCTTTCATTGATCTTTTCTATTGTTTTTTTTGGTCTCTATCTCATTTATTTCTGCTCTGATCTTTATTATCTCCTTTCTTCTGCTCACTCTGAGCTTTTTTTGGTGTTCTAATTCTTTGAGTTGTAGAGTTAAATGATTTACTATCATTTTTTCTTGTTTTTTTGAGGTAGGCCTGTAGTGCTATAAACTTCCCTCTCAGTACTGCTTTCATTGTGTCCCATAGATTTTGGGTTGTTGTACTGTTATTGTCATTAGTTTCCAGGGTGTTTTTAATTTCTACTTTGATCTCACTGGTAACCCAATCATTATTTAGTAACATGCTATTCAGCTTCCAAGTGTTTGAGTTTTTTGGATTGTTTTTACTGTGGTTTATTTCTAATATTATGCCCTTGTGATCTGAG